AGCAGTAAGTAGAGATCGTGTGGTAGCTCATCCTATTGTGAAGACTAAACCTTTGAACAGTCACCTTACTGAACTAGGAGTGTCCTAGTTTGTTTCTATTACATGTACTTACTAGCAGTGTAGTGAATTTCCGGAATGATATGGCCGCTGTTTACTGCAATGTTACCACCTCCTCCCGTGTGGTTTTATAGAGATTTTCTTGTCCACGTTTCCATTGTGGATCTACCTGATGTATGTATGTGTTCAGTAAACAACAATGAACCGTTATATATATCTACACGGTAACATAATAACTGTGTGAGCCACAACACAAGCCACCAACACACCTTCACTCAACTAATACTAACTGTGAGAGGTTTGTATAACAGACAGGTTCTTTGCAGACTTTACTCTTGCAGCGTCAGATGGTGACTGGCAACCCGGCACTGTCACAGACAAACTCCCGCCTGCACACATGGGAAAACATATCGTACGATGGTACTCCATCTCACAATCTCACACTAACCACAACGTAGAGAGTCCTCGAAGACCTTACGGCGCCACAAACACCGGGTCATCCAGGGACTTACAACACGGACGTAACCATCACCATATGTTGTCACCGCCATTACCGGCTCTTTCATGAGTGTCCGACTGACCTGCTTCCATTCCTTAGTTCATTGGTTCACTTTACCGATTCACATGAAAAACACTTGCGTATCTATTTACCGACTGGATGGCTGAAACAACATCATACACGAGTGGCCGTCATCTATAGGGCCACATTCTCTGTCGTCATGCCCGGCCACTTGTGTTGGGGCGAGGCCATCCAAGAACGAGCTTCGGGCAATGCAACCGGACAGGGCTGCCAATACAGTCGGCCCTTAACATACGGGGGTTTAGCATACACGGATTTGCAAATACGCGGATTGCCGCTGGAGGAATATTCTGTACATTGAAGTGATTGAAGTACATTCAAATCGCACGCGGCACCAAACACTGCACACCGCCCGCTACCCCACACACACACACACGCATAGCGCGTCACGCCACCCCGCGCTCCCTCACTCAGTCAGTCTCGCTGTAACCACGCTTGTGTTAACATCAGAACTGTAGTTGCTACCCTTGCTACCCACATTTACCAAGGCCCCTAAAAGAGCATCAAAGACACCAGCTGGAGTCACCCCTAAGCGCCAGAAGAAAGTGACGACTCTGCAGGAGAAGGTGGAGTTGCTCCATACAAAAACATCATGGAAGAAATGAAAAGAAAGAGACGACAACTCCCCATCACCATGTTCTTTGATCGCCGAAGGAGAGATACAACACCATCAATCACTGGCGGCAGTGAGGAAGCAGCTGAATCCACCGTCGCCCCCACTTCACCACCCGTTATGGAATTGAGTGACGATGAGTCCGATGACCCCCGTCCTGTCGCCGAGGATAGATACTGTACAGTAAAGTGAAATTTTTATCTCTTTTTTTTTAATAGCTTTTCTTGCCATGTTTATTGTTTGTAAAAATGCACAGCACAGTACAGTTCAGTACAAGTACTGTACATAGGAAGTGGAGGTGCAGTTATTCACAAAACATTTGTGTTTGTTGTCGGCAGTAGTGACAATGTGGAGGAGGCGGAGGGATAGAGCGGGGAGGAGTGGTGACACTGGAGGCGGGAGCAGGGACGAGTGGAGATGCCAGCCAGTACATTATGGGTGTACAGTATTAATTGTTTTTATAGCTCTTTTTGCATTTTAATATTAAATACTGTACATTACGTTTCAACAAAACTATTATTTATTTCTGAGAATATGGAAATGTAATATTTTTGCTGAAATGACGTACGTATTACAGTGGAAAGTGGGATAAAATTGTGACGAAAGCATTGACTTTCGCTTTCGTTCGTTCAAAAGATGTTACCGTAATCGCTTTTTGAATGGTTTTCAGTTGTGGGATTATGAGGCTAATGATAGGATAGAATATTATTGTAGTACAGTACAGTACAACAGTTTTTTAATTGAAAACCATTCGAAAAGCAATTATGGTAAAATCTTTTGAACAACGAAAGAAAGCGAAAGTCATTGTTTTCGTAATGATTTTATCCCACTTTCCACTGTAATATGTACGTCATTTCAGCAAAAATATTACATTTCCATATTTATTTCTGAGAATATATTCATTCAGTCACAGTTAAGGTAAAATATACTTGTGATGTGATATTTTAATGAAAATACGGTATCATAGTTTTCTCTTGTTTCAAATTTAATTAACAAAGATTGATGTTTCAAATGTAATGAACAAAAATTTATGTACAGTATCTATAAATAAACTTTAACAAATGAATACTTTATGTTTTACATCGTCCTGTGTATACCATACCATGCATTTGGCTACTTTGGGCTTGCCATGATGACGCAAGAGATCTGCCCTGGCAACTGTACCGACACTCCTGTACTGAGAGGTAAAGTATACAGTTATTGGCCAAAATACATGTTCTTACCTCTACAACCTCTATAATACAAAATACAGGTACAGTAGACTACACTGTAATTTAACTCTTATACTAATTAATTTAACTATCATATTCTTAAACAAAAAACAAGCTAATATTTTGTTTTTAAGTTGGTAAATTTTTTTAAAAGATCTTATTCAAAATTGGAAATAAGTTTGGACTCTCACTGTCCAATAATCTCTACTGTACAGAACTATAGCTATGCATTTACATACTTATAAAATATAGGCATATAGGGTTAAATCATCCAGGAACATTAATTAATCACTATATTACAGGACATCTGATCATTGCAAAGAATACGGTGCTCCCCTACTTACAACTGCTTGGATTTACGTCCATCAGTACTTACGACCTGCTCTGACCTTACGACCGTCGGGACATACGACCGCGGCAGTCGTGACCAAAAATATTTTCAAATGACGCGCACATTTTCTATACCGAAACGTTTCTGTCCCGGGCGAGAGCGTGGCTGGCTTGGCCCGGGTCACCGCGTGGGTACAGCTTCCACTCAGTGGAGTGCTTAGTTGGTGTTTGGCTATCGTATCCTACTGATCACGCCGTGAACTTTCGTTATTATCATATTTAATTGACTTTATAATGACTGGAAAGTGTACAAGTGAGAGTGCTGGTGGTGTTCAGAAGAAAAGGAGACAGGCAATTACTTTTGAGATGAAAATGAAGATAATAACACAGCATGAGAATGGAAAAACTGTAGCAACAATCTCACGTGACCTAGGTTTCTTACACTCGACCATATCCACTATTCTGAAGGACAAGGAACGTATTCGTGAAGTAGTGAAAGGAACAACACAAATAAAGGGAACTATAATTTCTAAGAAAAGACAAGGTCCTATTCACGATATGGAAAAATTATTGGTGATATGGATAGAAGACCAGATACAGAAGCGTGTACCCTTAAGCCTTCTAACCATACAGGCAAAAGCAAGAAGCCTGTTCCAAAGCCTGAAGGAGCAGGCAGGAGATGAATGTGATCAAACCTTTACAGGAAGTCATGGGTGGTTTGATAGATTTAAAAAACGCTACAGTCTACACAATGTTAAGGTGAGTGGAGAGGCAGCTAGTGCCGATGTTGGTGCTGCCGAAGCTTTTAAGGAGGAGTTAGATGATGTGACTGTGGACGGGAATTATTTGCCTGAGCAAATATTCAATGTGGATGAGACTGGATTATTGTGGAAGCGCATGCCTGAGCGGACATACATCCACAAAGAGGCAAAAACAATGCCCGGATTCAAGGCATTCAAGGACAGAATTACACGTCAGTTGGGGGGGAATGTTGCTGGTTTCAAGCTAAAGCCCTTCATGATCTATCATTCAGAGAACCCCAGGGCTTTTAAACATGTCAGCAAGCACACACTGCCAGTGTTTTATCGCAGTAATAAGAAAGCCTGGATGACCTTAGCACTGTTTGAGGATTGGTTCATGACTTGTTTCATTCTACGAGCCAAGGAGTATTGTCTGCAACAACGGATTCCATTCAAGATTTTGCTGATTTTGGATAATGCTCCGGGACACCCACCACACCTGATGTTAAGGTAGTGTATATTCCACCTAACACTACCTCTATCATCAAGGTGCTATTGCTGCCTTTAAAGCGTATTATTTACGCACGACCTTCGCTCAGGCTGTTGCTGCTACTGAAGGTGAGAAAACGCTCAGAGAGTTTTGGAAGGAGTACAACGTTTTGTCATGTATAAAGAACATTAGTGCAGCATGGGATCAGGTTACACAACATTGCATGAATGGAATATGGAAGGACATCCTGAAAAGATATGTGAACAGTTTCAAAGGATTTAATGAAAATGAAGTTATTTTGGATATTAGTAACAAGATAGTGGAGTTGGGTAAACAGCTGGAGTTAGAAATTGATAATGAAGATGTTGGACAGTTGGTTGAAAGTGTAGCAGAAGAGCTAAGTAACGAGGATCTCATTGAACTAGATGCACAGAAAATTGCAGAGGAAGAAGAGAGACAAAATGTAGAAGAAGAACCTGCACCCCCCAAAAAGTTTTCAGTGAAACAAAAGGCTGAGGCATTTGCTACAATTAATAAAGTAATGCAAATGTTTGATTGCATGGATCAAAATTATGAGCATTATGCCAAAGTTGACAGAATGATCCAAGATGCACTTGCTTGCTACAGAGAAATTTATAATGAAAAGAAAAAGCAAACTGTGCAGTCTAAATTGGACATCTATTTTAAGAAGTCCCCCAGTACTGGCTCCTCACGCCCCACCAGTGCTGCCTCTTCACTCCCTCAAGATGATCCAATACCTTCAACCAGCAAGTTTCCACAGTACATAAACCTGTCTGAAGAAAGCGACATTGATGACCCACCCAGCCCTGTCTCCTCCTCTGCTTCATCCAATTAATATAGTCTCCATGTATCCTGTATATAGAAAATTATGAGGGCCCCGTGTGCATTCAGCTGACTACATTAAAGGTAAGTGCTCAGTCACACTGTATCCATTCCTCATTATTTATTTATTTGTAGATTTTTTATTTACTTCATTTTTTTTAATTTGATTTTTTTTTTTTATCTAAGTCAGACTTACGACCAGTCTGACTTCGACCTGGATTTGGGTCCCTAACCCCGTCATAAGTCAGGGAGCACCTCTGTATAGTATTTAGGTTCCTGTTAATTGCACGTCTTGAAATATAGTAATAAATTAAGGTTCGCAGATAATAAATGACCCTGTATATTTGTGGTAAATTCCTCGGCGTCCTGATGATGACGGCGGCAGCAGCAGGAAGACGTGTGTTAAGAGAGGTAAGACATGTCCTGTCTCCCCAGCTGCTGGAGAACTCCACACATGATCTCCCGCAAGATCTGTAAATGATGACACAAGTCGCGGAAATATTTATATTAACCCCCACAAGAGATTAAATATTGTGTGTGTGTGTGTGTTTGTCTATGTATGTAAGTGTATTTTGTGTATATGTGTGTATTTTTGTGACTGTAATCTGTGGCGTCAGTTCAATTAATTATATCACACCACACCAGCATCACAAACACACACAGTACTGTACCACGATCTTACCTGGGGCTTACAGTGCTCCTCGACCCACGATATGACCGATCCTGAAATCTCGGCAAAATTATTGGTGGCCACGCAGCGCTCAAACGACTGGTTCAGGGAGTCCATAACAGCACGGAACTGCAACACAACGCGCCCGACTTTAATGCCCAACACCCTAGAGAAATTTTTTCGGGGTAGCAGCGATAAAAATAACTTATCGAGTGAAAGTTTATTGTGAGAAAACAGAAGAGGATTTACTGGCTTAAGGTGAAAAAAACAGTTCGGTCATTTACTAACTCAGCCTAGATTTGGTGCATACATACCACTTGGAATTTCACATCGTCGGAAATCTGCTTGCTCATCTGGCCGGGCTGACTCTGATGGGCCGACACGATCTGCTCGTAGTTCAGCTTCATAATGGTGAGAGCGACCACTTCCTTTTGCAGAGCTGCCACCTCCTCCTCCTGCTTGCTCTTCTCCTTCTTCAGAAACTGTCAACAGGATAAAGGACGATGTTATTTTTATCGAATCGGAGAAAAACTCAATATTTCTTTGTATTTCCCAGCCTAAGTTTAGATGGTTGAATATTGTGAGGTATGTATTGGAGCTATTTGTTAATCCCTTGAGTATGATGACTTAATCCCTGTAGTATGATGACTTAACCCCTGGAGTATGATGACTTAACCCCTAGAGTATGACGACTTACCCTTTGAGTGTGATGACTTAACCCCTTGAGTATGATGACTTTACCCCTTGAGTATGATGACGTAACCCCTTGAGTATGATGACGTAACCCCTTGAGTGTGATGACTTAACCCCTTGAGTATGATGACGTAACCCCTCAAGAATGATTTTACTGAATAAACATCATCATTACTGTGATTATTATTGTTATTACTATTTTTATCACTATTATTGTATTATCATTATTATTATTATCTAACCACCTTACATGACCCTAAACCACTCACCACAGTACAGTCATTACCTGTATGTAATCAATACTCTTCTGCAGGACTGTAGCTTTGGACATCTTGTAACCTTGCCCCTGTTCTGTATTCTGACACGTGGGCACCAGGTCTTGGAGGGAGTCGTAGCCCTTGTTGATGGCGTTGCGACGTTTCTGCTCGGCCTGGGTGTGGGCCTCCCTGCGCCGTTCCTTGTAGCTCATCTGGTTACCGCGGTCGCTGTCCTCGTCATCTGTTACATCTGCGAGGTTTATAAATTGGACGACGGTGATTGTTGTTGTTGTTGTTATTATAGAAAGAGGATCGCTTCAAGATTTACCACCGCGAGCTTTATTTAACCTGATGATTAAATACCTTTATCATATACCTGTGGAGGGGGTAGTTTAGGTAAGGTATGGTTAGGTATGGTTAGGTAAGGTTAGATTAGATTTGGTTAGGTTAGTTTAAGTTAGTTAAGACTTGGTTAGGTTAGCATTAGGATGTTTAATAATCAGGTGAAATAAGTTGGGTGTCTAATCCTCAGGTGATCCAAGGTAAAGTCAAGGAAAAGACACTTTATATAAATCAGAACATTTCCCAACTACTGACACATATTGTTATATGACCCTGCAGTGTAGTCCAGGTCTTGAACAACATAATGAACAAGACTATGAACAACACCACATATGATGTTGTTAATGAGACCAAACACAAGATCTATTAGATAACATGACCCTATCTAATGAACTGACGTATATTATGTTAGGTCAATGGTTGTTACTGTGCGATGTTCTATACTGTACCTGCACTGTCTTGGTACATTGTATACCTGCACTGTCTAGGTACATTGTATACCTGCACTGTCTAGGTCCATTGTATACCTGCACTGTCTAGGTCCATTGTATACCTGCACTGTCTAGGTCCATTGTATACCTGCACTGTCTAGGTCCATTGTATACCTGCACTGTCTAGGTACATTGTATACCTGCACTGTCTAGGTACATTATACAGTACTCCACTTTCCTCCTGTACTATCACTGGACAACAAAGGACAAGACCAGACCTTAATAACTAGTAAGATGGTCAATGGTGAGAGGATGAATAAGACAAACCAGCAGCAGCCATAATGCCATCAACAAATTTATCACATCAAGAGAAAGTTATATTATTTCTATTTACTGATGAAACAAGAGTAATTAAATGAACTTGTTCCATGTTTAAAGACCTTACTTGTTGAAGTCCAATGAGGTAAAGAAAGCCCACATTACCTTTGCCTTCACCACCTACATATACAAAAAAACTCTACTAAAATATCATTGGTTAGTGTGGTGTGACTACTATACCAGCAGAAAGAACATTAATAACTAGTAAATTAAGTAATATCTAGTAAGCACAGAGCAACGTACAAACACACACAAGCAGGGGACAAAAATGTGGAATGGTCTTGTGAGAGTCTTGTCGTAATGGACTTGGTAGTAGTATGAATTCTCGAGTGATTTTCCATCAGTCTTGTTTGGTTTTCACGCTAGGTACTAGATGGCGATGGGAACAGGACCAACACACACACACACACAGTCACACACAACGGCGTAATAATTTAATGTGCGGGTTAAGTTAATTCCCTTTTGTCGTGTGCCATTTACAAGATATTTACAAGACCCAGAAAAAATCGACGTCAGAAACACAAACTGACCAGAATGATCCGTAAGTCTTAAATAAATAATAATTATAAGTTATATTATGTAAGTCAGTCTCTTACAGTTTTCATCATTAAATATATTTCACCATTACTCTACATGACTCACTAGTTAACTGAAGACACCAAGTGTATTAAAAATGGTCTAGTAATTGTAAATGGTTAATTAATTAAAAGGTTTGACCCATCAACAAAAGTTCCACCCACTTTTGGTTACGATTCCCTGAAGGTGATTGGTTGGTCTTCTCGGAGTTACAACACTACATCAACAAACCATACTTGTCAATTTCTAACACTGTACAATAAATAACGACTACAAGAGAATGGTGCCACTCTGACAACTTACGGTCACCACACACTTAAACCTTTAAGGGCGGGCACGTCAACCTACGGCCAGTCTGTAACGAGACAGATGTGTTATACGTCCTAAACCGGCCAATGATCGAACGACTCCGACGAACGGTAATGATAGCCGCAGGAGATGAGAGTGGGAGGAGCCGAGTCGATGCGTCCAATCACTCGACCGATTCTAAATGTGGGAGGAGCCGAATCAATGCGTCCAATCACTGAACCGATTCTAAAAGTGGGAGGAGCCGAGTCGATGCGTCCAATCACTGAACCGATTCTAAAAGTGGGAGGAGCCGAGTCGATGCGTCCAATCACTCGACCGATTCTAAAAGTGGGAGGAGCCGAGTCGATGCGTCCAATCACTGAACCGATTCTAAAAGTGGGAGGAGCCGAGTCGATGCGTCCAATCACTCGACCGATTCTAAATGTGGCAGGAGCCGAATCGATGCGTCCAATCACTCGACCGATTCTAATCCATCTTAAGAGTACGTGATGAGAGTTGCTGACCTGTATTGTTGGCTGAGGAAGTCAAGGTATGGATGGAGCCGGTTGAGCTGCACCGCGAGAAAGGATACCGCTGGTCTGACTCTCGATCGTCTGTGGATGGGACGTGATCTTACTCTTGGTGACATGAAGCCAGTTCTAACAATCACTCTTACTTACAGCAAACTCTCTAACTCTCAGGTGATACAGCTACAGCTACCCTTCAGTTCACCATCTACAGAAACTACAATGTGATGTATTAAAAGCAACATATATCTCAAACTAAATACAATAGACATATACAATGCAATACATTATACATTTAGACTGTTAGCAAATGAAGGCTTTGACTAAGTTGGTTGAAGGTAATAGGAATTTAAGTAATACATGGTAAGGGTTATATTAGTTAGCGGTTAATTAACACTTTTCCACAGTCTAAGTTAGTGAGAAGGTGTGTACAGAAGCACACACACACGCTCAAACACGCACACACACACACACACACCCCCCTTCACGCCTCATTTTATAAACCCCATAACTGTCTTATCCTTAAAACACAACTCATAAAGTGTTTCAAGATACGATACACTTGTGAACTGTATAAGACAGACTGTTAAACTGGCACTAACGACATAACTGGCACTACAGTACAGTCACCCAAAAACAATCTATCGAAAATTGGGTTGAATAAATACGACTGAACGGACGAAGGATTTTGACGACCCTACCGAGGCGACAGGAGTTCATCGATCACCCAGAGTAGAGATAGTTGTCCGAGTGACTGTCATGTTTGTCTGGTGTAATATAATTTAAGTGTGATACTGTAGAGGAATGTGAGATTGGCTGCTAGGTACATTATTTTCAGCAGCGCTACAGTAATACGTATATAAACTCCTATTTTTAATACCACAATAATATTTAATATGGACAGAGGAACAATTTACTTTCATCTCTTTGTATTTATTTATAAGAACAAGTTATAATGAACATTTTGGGCAGAACAAATGTAGTAATGAGGAGGAACAGTGTGGGGGGATTAGTTGTGGTTCACTATAGGTCATTTTAAACACTAGGGGTTGTGTTCAGGGTCAAGCCAACATGTACTGTACAGCGGCTAATGTACTAAATTTGGAGTACTGTACATGGCAGATAACTCAGTAGGTGGTGGTGGTGGTGGTGGTTGGTTGGTTGGTTGGTTGGTTGGTTGGTTGGTTGGTTGGTTGGTTGGTTGGTTGGTTGGTTGGTTGGTTGGTTGGTTGGTTGGTTGGTGGTGCTGGTGGTATTGATGGTGGTGCTGGTGGTGAATTATATCTCAATAATAAAAAATAATTTCACAACAATCATCCAGGAAAAAAATTAACCCCAGGCTGAGACGATTACCAGTGCCCGACAAGATGTGGAATTATTTAGGCCCGCGTGACCGACACCTTCCCACCGGCTGACTTAATAGTTTGAGAGATAAATAAATAAACAGGAATTTGTCAAGTGTTACGTAACCCCACCCGACCGTACGTGTTCAACCAGGGAGATTAGCCAAAGGGCCGCTGATGTACTGTAAGTGTCCAGTGGAAGATATATGTCTCTCTACATTAAGTTACCAACATGTCATAGGTCAAGCTGAGAGGCTGTACATGACGTGATAGTAGTTATGACCTCACATGAAGAGTGTTATCACCACCGACACCATTTAGACCCTAGGGTTACATGCGGCCCTCGAAGACTTTCAATTTGGCCCACTTCTGAGATTACCAAGAACCTCCTGCCCTGTACTGCTCACATCATTGTCATTCCTAAAAACCCATTTTAATTCATATTACGCTACATAACATTCAAATCCACCGCGCTTGTAGAATCTCAGGAGAGATGTGTTTTTCCCACCTGTTTTACCCTCAGGATCACTCCCAGTAAGTCCCGCCTTCGAACACAGTTGTCACTACGTTTATTGCACTCTCTACTGGCAAACGCAACCTTGAATTAGTCTGTGTAAATCAACTTTAGTAATTCGCCAGACCTTTGTCAAGTGAGGGTCATCCTTGAATGAGTAACAGTTAGATTGTTTGTAATTTCTGTCATTGCGTAAGTAGCGATCGCTGGCAACTCGGGGGTATATAAACCAGTGCGAGGCGGGAGGAAAAAACCTCCCGTATCATCTTTCACCTTCGTTCCCAGGTATGTTCTGTGTTTATAAGCATTCAGTTTGATTCAGTCTATTGTAGTGAATATCAGTGTTCATCAGTGTTCATGCTTAACAGTGGAATTGTCATTCACCCAGTGTAAGAAGTAATATAACGTAAATATCTGACGTGGCGAGACTGAAGATTTGTTTGTGACCCACCATGCTTACCCAAAAAAACCTCCCATATCATCTTTCACCTTCCTTCCCAGATCGAGGGTGGGCTTAATTGAAACCCACCGGTCGCTCGGAGCCGGTGGATACCCAGCAGTGGTCAATATAGGAGTGATGGTGCTGATTCGGCATGATTTATCAGCTCCACTCTACCTCGTGGGCCGAGGACCCCAGACCCACCTCGGGTCGGAGTGTAACCGACCACAACAGCAGTTGTTAGAGGCGCCAGTGCTATACCCTGGGACAGGCCTTGGAGTTATGGTCCACAGTGTGGTTGTATGTGTTTGTTAATAATTACCCCATGTTGGGTGGTGGACCCATGTCGGTGTTTGTATCAGTATTAGTGTATTGGGAGTAAGGACAAGGAACTGGTCCTGCGATGTAATGTAATGTGACACCAGTAAGAGGGTGCACCGTAAGAGTGTAATATCTGAGTAATTGCTGTTGAGTAAATTGGAAAATAAGGAAACAAGTACATAAGAAATACAGAGTCTGCAATAGGCCCAAGAGTTGAGCCTGGTAGTTATATGTTAATAACATCTATTTTCTCCTTTGATTTTATATTAATAAACTTGTTCTTTAAGTATTTTAGGAGTATTCATTTCCCCCACAGTAGTTACCTTTATTTCCGTCCAAGTGACCCTGATATCAGAATTACACTACCCATGTGCCTAGACCATCAACATGCTACCAAGAAGAACTGTGATTAGGTAGTATCAAAAATGAACTGAAGTGAGCAGAAGGAACATTTGAAAGAACTAAGACATGTTGTGGTTTCACCCTTCTTTCCCCTTATTGATCTGGTCAATGAAAAACCTAACCTAATGCCTAGTCCACTCTGCCCGCTACCTAACGAGCTACATGCTGTCCAGAGGGGGTCTGGTGGCAACGACCCTTAGAAATTAAGATTAGAGTTAAGTAGTTACCCTTAGTATTAATGACCCCCAGTCTGGCAGTATAGCCCCACACCCAAGCCTCATCAGAGTTAATACCTGGCACTTACAATAAATTACACAAGTAACATAATTATCTTATAACATCAGTTTTGAAAAGTGTAATATTAATGTTATTGTAAGATTTGGCATCAAGGTCACACAGTGGGTAATACTGCTAGGTCCAGTGTAAAGTAAAAGACTCATGTATTTGAGACCTGTTTGTCCTTTAACTTTCAAATAAAAAGGACAGTCTCAAACTGTCCTTATTTGCCTTTTTCTAAACTTCCTTCTGTTTTAAAGAAAACGTTATTGATGTCTGTTTCATAATCGTATTACTGAGTGTTTGTGACCAGCGGTCGCTGCATCGCTAAATACGTTTTGAAATACACCCACCCCCCCCCTGCCGTGTTTAAGTTTTGGATTTAAATTTATCATTAAGTTTTAATTTAAAAGCAATATAATGAATGTATGGCCTTTCATACATCACATTATTTTACTGTGGCCTCTATGTAATAAGTTTGCCTGACCCTGACAGACACAAGTGATCTGGGAGTTGATACATAAAATAAAATTAAAATGGTAAAATTATTGTTTAGGTCATCCACCTGTTTGGAGGTTAGAAAAAAAACAAAAATAATTTCAACCTGACCAAACCTAACCTAACCTAACCTAACTTAACCCAACCTAAAATTTGATAGTTTATTTAATCTTCCCATAAAAAATTTCCACCAAAATTTATCACGTCAAATAAAACCCTTGAGTCAAGTATGGAATGGGACGGTTTAAGGCTCCATACCTTTAAAAATAAACGCTGTGGATATTTGTCCGGGTGTTGGTTAGGTTAAGGTTTTCAGACTTAACACCAGAAGGAGTTGATAGAATTGGATGACTTAGTGGAAATGTTAATTACAATAAATTAGGGCCAATTTTTACTTTAGGACATGAGGGTTGACCAATATGATTTTCCAGTGTAATTTGGTGAATTTTAAACGAATCTGACCTTCATTTTTGGCGGACATTGCTAGTTCCCTCCCCCCCAAATAATAATGGGGGAGAACCTGAGAAATAAGGGTTTTTGGGGAAGAAAACAAATACGAGTCATCTAACCTAACCTAACTCCGTCCCCAGATCCCGGTAGGCCTAGCTTAAACTACTAAATGTTTCATTATTTAAATTTATGGGATGCACAATGTCTGAAAGTACAATACCTTAGTTATAAGTGGAAGGACCAGGGATACGTAAGAATTGGATAGAATGATCGTCTTTCTCGTAAACCTCGGCAATAAACTTAAAATAATCGTAGGCTCACGAATGACAACGAACCACGGCTATTGTGAAACTGGTCAATGTGATTGGTCGAAAAAAATCTACGTAATGATATCGATACCTCATTGGTCACTACCGGATGACGTCACACATACCTGATACCTTAAATCTACTTAAAAATCAATTAAATTCAACTGTGTCATTATTATGGGGTTCAAAATACTCAATGTTATGTCCAACAGTAATACTTTAAATAAATAAATAGAAAAGAGAACACACAGACCCTAACCTAAGGAAACATTAAACCCCATTATCCACACAACCACCATAACCATTTAATACGACCATAACTACTACTACTACTACTACTACTACTACTACTTAACTACTATTACTATTATATTTAACTATTATACTAACCTTCAATATTAGCTTCTGCCATTATACACTACACCAGAGGCTATTGATGTCTGTCTGTCTGGCCTCTCTAATCCAGACTTAACCTATAGGTAAAAAAAAAATCATCATAAAACACAAAGTTAACATAATATTAAAGTTAAATTAATAATATAACAATTTAACAAAACTTAAAAAAACCATAATTAAAAACTTATCTTAAAATCATCGAATAATTTATCTTTCTTATTATTTACCTACAGTTACTCTATTATAATTACTTCATCATTCTATCAGATAAGTCAGTTAATAAAGGTGTTTTAATTAACAGGTAGGTTTAAAGAGATTAATTACCTGTGTTGTTGTGATCAGCTGAGTCTTGGAAGGTCAGTCAAGTGCTTAACAGGATCACTATATCATATAATGTCTACCTAATTTACTTATTTACTGGTATTAGTTACTTATTTTCTGGTGTTATTTAGTTATTTATTTTAATATAGTTATTTATTTACGTAGTTTGACATATTTACGTAGTTTGACATATTTACTTATTCACAAAATTTTCTACACTGTATTTACTTAATTTACTCTATTTATCACCTTCATCACTTATTAGCTCATCAGAACTGTCTATTTATCTTTTACACTGCAATTACAGGGGCCCGGAGATATAAAAGGGTCCCCCACTAACTCAACCACCCCCCTCCCACCCCCTAGATCAATGAATAAATTATCCTGATTTGAGTGAACACCAATGAGTCATTCTCTAGTTACACCCAGTGATTCCTAAAATAATAAGGGTGGTCCAAATGTCCCTATAAGCACCATCTTTCCCTCTACATAATCTACAGTTAACAGGGTCAGTTTACCCTCTTTTACCTGTTCCACCACCTCTCAGGCCAGTATATTGATCACCTTTTAGACAAATCTCTGCTTTGAACGAGGTGGATATTAACAGACCCTGATACGCCACATTCTTCACCAGACTTGAGGCAACAGTTGTAATAATAACTCCCGATGTGCTTTCAAAATACAGTGGACAGGTTAAAGATTTATGCATATATTTAATAGGGACATTTAGGCCACCCTGTATAATTAAAGATACTGATGTCCTTATGCAACTGTGGTAAGCATAGTTTAGTAATCCAATTGAACCGTTGCTTAATAGCTCCCAACCAGACAAAGGAGTGGTTCAACATAATATATCTTGTATAGGAGGGTGACACAGAAATTTGTACAGCACAGTATTATAATTTTCCTGAAGGCTGCCATTAGATGATTACTATAAGGTTAACACACTCTAATATTAAAATAAAAGCTTTATTAGGGGTCATTCTCAATATATTTGAACACATCTTGTTTACATGCTGAAATAATTTGATATATTACAAGGCATAAAAATAAATGGTGCTTTGATAAACATCTATACAATACCAGAAATAAAAACCAAACATCTGTTGCCAGTTTACTGTATACAGCCTATGATGATGCAGAGGTCACCAACTACTGTAACCAAAGTCTCCATAGGGGAAGATAACAATAAAAGGGCATTACTTTAAGAAAAATAACTCATTTATATTAAAGAACACAACAAAGTTACAGTGAGTAGGTTACCACAAGAGAGCCCACACCACCGGTCATGTGCCAAGCAGCACTTGACCCACCACCACCCTGGTGTGTCCACCTCTACATATATTGTTACTGTTCCATATTACTTTAAGGTACAGTATTTCCCTTAGTTGACAACTAAAACCTAAGGTAATGGTTATGATGATGAGATGATTATGTAATTATATATTTACAAGAAACATTTCATTTTATAAAATGAAGTATTATAAATAGTTTTGTTTAATATGCAACAACTTTTGGCTCTGATGCAACAATGATATATACACAGTATATATTAACACAATCAATGATCATATTACACTGTAGTAAAGGTATGAGGCAGGACCAACCCTTCATTTGTCCTACAGTATAGTGAAGCAGCAGCCTATCAAAACTACCATAGAGAGAGTACAATACATGCAACACTGGCTGCTCTGGAGATCATTAAACAAACTCATGAACTTCCTGTGTATAGAACTGTAATTGATCTTCAAAAAGGGCACCACTGATGTAGAACTCATATTAGTGTAATGAGATCCAATAGACAAACACTGACATGTTTTAAGTTATAAACACAATACAGTAGTACTTGGAATGCTTCACATCAACATATTTTCAGTACATATTAATGCCACCTACAGATTACCAGTCCACTTAACACAAAAGGGAGAATGGGCTAAGATGACTCTGTGTTATGAAGTACTGACCATATGTGTCAGGATGTGCCTAGTTTACCCCACAACAGTAATAATTCAAGATACTGAAGCAAGCAGACAAATAAAGACAATATCAAATACATCTTTATATACTCTTTACTAACCCTATCAACCACCACGTCCCTCATGATGGACTTGGCAGCCCCAGTATACAAAATTAACCGACAAAAAAACGGTGGGATTTTCCTTTATTAAACGGAAGAAAAAGAACACGGAATCTACACAAGCTAGTTTCCGGTGCTATTACCATCAGAACCTCTTCAAAGTCATGACACTTGGTAGGTTAAACGGACCAAGGAGATGAGACCCATGAATCCAGGGTGTTCTGTGCATACTCCATGGCTCAATGCTCAGTTTTCGTTGCCCTGATGTGGCATTGGCAACACCGCCTCCGCCGCAGTAGTGAGAGAGCCGAGGAGTTTGGGGGAGAGAGTCTTTGGAATGTTGGAAATTTAGGGAGTCTTCAGAAAGCTTAGGGTTTAGAGAGGCTTGAGTGTGCATGTCCTGAGAAAGCTTAGGATTTATGGAAGCTTGAGGAGCAGGAATTAAGGAGGTTTGAGTATGCATGTCTTGAGAAGGCTTAGGATTTAAGGTTTGAGTATGGATGTCTTGAGAAAGCTTAGGATTTAAGGTTTGAGTATGGATGTCTTGAGAAAGCTTAGGATTTAAAGAAGCTTGAGAGTACTTATCTTGAGAAAGCTTAGTGTTGATATAGAGTAAATTTGTACAATTATTCACAGGGGGAAAACTATATACAGCTGTATCAAGATGTACTTCACACAGTTGATTTTCAAACACGGTGCTCCTGAAAGACACATCTTGGGTACCGAGAGTCTTGCCTCCAGCCGCTAACAAATTCACGCTTCTGTCGACTCCACCACGACGATTATTTTTAGAGGAAGAAACAACCGCTCCGCTTTGTTCCTTCTGGCTAAGACAAGATGACCGCCACCCTCATTGTTTGTAATTCAACATCAACGAATGCTTTGCCGCCGAGGAGATGGTCTCCCTCTGTATCACCGATGACATTGTCCGGGATAGAACCTTACGTGATCCTGGGGGGACGTTTTCCTGGTTGTTGCCTGCTGACGTTCTTCCCTTTAGGAAGCTCGTTGTCCTATGAAGAGCTCCTCCCAATCCTATATCCATACAGAAATACAAGAATAATAAATTAATTAAAAGATTCCCTCGATAGCAAATAAAATGTCTGAAGAGAAAGTACTATAGCTTATCTGTTTAATAATGTCGTATGTGGTGTAAATAAATGAGAAACTGATTCTGAAACCCTCGGACAACCTCACCAGTCAAAATTATCGATGTCCAAAGCACTAAATCCCCCCCCACCCCAAGAAATTAACACCTCTCCTGATATAACTACTGGATAGCTCTAAAGAAAAAGGGGGATTACAGTACCTATAAATCTCAGTTAATAGACCATGTCCTCTGTCCTAACACTCCACCAGCTGTTACCACTCACTATACACCTGGACAACAGCACCAACACTCCCCCTTCACCGCCACACTGAGGAAAGAAAGAAGGATCCAAGTCACTCAATACCTCTCAGGTGACTAAAACTACACCAAGATGGCTACTACAGAGAAAAGATGGGAGGGGGACGATAAGCTCTACCTGGTGACTCAACTTGTATCCATAACCAAGAAGAGAGAAAATTACCCTTTTATAAGCCCTTAACTGCCATTTAATCCGACAGCATAATACAGTAGTCTCGTTTATGTAGCGATGAACACCTAACTGTACGCTTCCAAGGGAATACCCAAGATACTGCACAGTAATTACCACCTATTAGGTCTTGGTATAAATGGTACCCCAACAACCTTCTAGTGACTTAATTTAATGACTCGTGGTTATTGGGGGAGGAACTATTGTCTAGGTAATGAAGTTTGTCACATTTGAGAAGAGGTGCTGGAGATGTGTCACGTGATTGGCTTAATTACTGGATTGGTCGAGTCACTTATCAAATGAGCGACGTAAAAATAAATAAATTAAACGGCCCAGCAATAACAGCAGGTGTATTTCTTGTGCCCGTTCTGAAGCCAAACTAAAACTAAATTCAGATGGTAACATTAACACAACATCTGGACAAAACAAAGACCCACTCGCCGCCTCATACTACGGACGTCCGAGCAGCGACCTCACCCGTGAATTTCCTTTTGATGTTCGGCGACGGTTTTATTAATTTATTGGCGGTAACGTTGGAGGCGGCGGCGGCCAGGGAAGGAGTGCTGACACATCTTCTCATGCCCGGGGTGGTGGTGATGCTGAGCTTGTTAGCACTGGTTGAGATCTTCCCCGGCGTGATCTTGATGGAGGAGTTTTTCCACGGAGTGATGGTCTTACCCGGTGTCTTCTGGGGTGTGTGGCCAGAGAGATGTTTGTGGCTGATCTTATGTTCCTGGTAAACAAACACAATAAACATTAGAGGGGATATTGATGTGTGTCAATGAAATGTGTCTTAACTTTATGTGGGAAATTTTATCTTAAGAGAGCTTGGTGGTCCCAGTGTGATCGGGTGAGCATCTGGTGGGAAGTAGGACACCACACTATCAGGTTATAATGGCCGAGGCAAGGATGGGAAATAACCGTAACAGGAGATACAAGACAAATGGTAAGAGACAGGGGAAGGAGGAAACATATCAAGCAGTATTACCATAACACCATTCCATCTACACCTCACAACATTTCCCCAACTTATGGAAAATTTATCTGGCTACGCTGCAAGGAAGGGGGATGGGAATAAGAGCAACATATGATTGCTTCACTAATTCATATCATCCAAACAATTGCTTCTCTAAATGTGTTTTACTATGTTGTTTCTTATCCACTATAAATATATCCTTGTGTACCATCAGTTACCCAAAAGATGAGGCTGTGTGGTGTGGCTTAGTCTAATCAACTGCCTTCATCCTCCCCAACTTTGGTTATATACTGCTGGTTGGACTAAGGGCGACGGGCATTGAACACGGCAACCACTCGTTCCTCGATCAAGAAGCCTATAAACACTGCCTGTACGTCCACTTAAAACTGACCTTTGATGTTGGAAGCATCGTTGATCCCTCAAGTTCCACAACAACGGTAGGGAGCGGCGACAGTGGCTTCTTGGCTTTGTTTTCGAGCGAGAGCAGAGGACGACGTTCGGGAATTTCAAAGGTCGTCTGTCTCGCCTGGCCTGCGCTCACATCCGGAGACTGGAGGTCGAGAGCAGAACATCCTGGAGGGGGAATAAAGGTGACTCATGATGTAACCTGAGGCAATATGGTGGTGACTGAGAATAAATTTACAACAATAACAAAACTGATATTAATCTTTAAAAACTTTGGTGAATTTCTCTAACATCTGATGAGTATTGTAATCTAATTTAATGTTTTTCTGGTGTATAAACAGTACTGCATAAGCCGAGACATGAGACAATGTTTACTTTTTGTAAATAACTCAATTTCTTAACAAATGACAGGAGACATATCTGTGATGCTCCACATGTTAAAACTCTTTTTGCTACAGGGACGCAACTGTTAATATTTGGTTAAGGTCAGAGGATTATATTGAGGAGAGGGACGACCCTGTACTGTACACACAACCATTAACTCAACATACTGTACCTGGTGAAAGCCCACACACAGAGTTCTTCAAATTTTGCCAACTTTCTCTATTTCTCGTTTCTTCAACACTGAAAGTTGAATCTAATGTACATGACTGGAAGAGTTGCCTGGATGCAGTTTTCAGGGAGTCTACGTTCGCTTGACAGTTGGTTAAAGACTTGTCAATACTGTTAACGGGTAAATCTACTACACTTTGTGACTCTAGCGTTTCTTGGGCATTTGACACCTGTAAATTTATTCTGGTATCCGAGTGCAGCAATTTCTTGTTGGCTGTAGTCTTTGACGGCACTGGTTTATCAAAGGTTGTGTTTGGATCAGCAGAAAGTTGAGGAGCATTAACAAATGTACTATTGGCTGACAGTTTAGTAGGAACCTCAGTGGTGGTGGTTGTTGAGGTCGAAGAATTAGGAGAAACGGAAGGAACGTCAACAGTTGTATTTAAGGCCACGGGGTTATTGGGTAAGTCGACTGTTGTGTTCAATCCCTCCGCCGGTGTGATGGCAACAGTGGCATTTATTGAACATTCCAGAGGTTGAATATCCTGCAACAACTCTGTGGTGTTCATATTACTACCAGGAACCAGGGAGTTGACAGCTGACACAACACCACATCCATTAACCATGCTCACAAATCCAAACGTTTCAGTCCCTTTAATGACAACACTAGGTACAGCCGGCTTGCATTTCTCCCTCGGTAATGGGGTTTCCTTCAGCGAGCCCATAACACTAGACATCCCCTGGACACTGGCGGCGATAACTGGCAGCGGCCGTTTATCTTGGCCGGACACTGGGTCGACGGGAGAACGAGACAATGACCCGAGCATTGGCGTTGAGGGTAAGCCCCCGTCGTCCTCGGTCTCTGGGACAACGGGCAACACCTTCCTGATTGTTTCCAGGTCTCTCCGGGGAGTTACCGACGTGATAGATCCGCCTGACGACTGGGAAACACTGACGCTGGATTTCAGACTAGATTTTCTGAGGGAGAAAAAATTAAAACATTAAACTTTATTTGTTTTGTATATATGAACACATTAACACAGTAATTTTCTTGGCTTTCAGTGTATTAAAAAATGAATGGACCGATTTCTTTCCCGAGGCTTTTCCCACGGCTAGAAACGGCAGCAGAACCCACACACATTTCACCTTCACTTGCTCCCATTGTTGCAAGAGGTGTTCTGCTTCTGTTCCAACACACCTAAGACAACATCACGTCCTTCCCCCTAAATAAGTCAACACCACACATAGCCCTGCCCTCAATCTCTCATCTTGACTTGTGATTGGCCAGTTAGCAAAACAAACAATTAAGTGCTGTAGAATGACTATACCCAATTTGCTTCCACAGAGGAGACAGCTGGGCAGTTAGGGTCCGAGCTTGACGTTCCCACAATGAATCAACTGCAAGTGGCCAACAATATCCCCCACCAGCGGCCAACCTTATCCATAAATGCACATGTTATCCTCAGGCAATCGCCCAAAAAATTATCCATAAAATGCCGAGAAAAATTTGACCACGGACGAAGGATTCTGATAACCCTTCCGAGACAACAGGAGTCGCAGTGTTCATTCTGGGACTCATCGATCACCCCCAGGTACAGTTTTTTGAGTAACTACACATATTAAGGGACTAAAAGTAATAATACCATACTGATAACAAGAGGGAGACAAGGTGACAACTTACCGGAAAACCTTGGCAGGTTCTTGTACGGTGGCCGGTGATATGAAGAAGGTATTAATGGTTGGTAGAAAAGTGAAGTAAGACACGTCTAGTGGAGCTTGTGTACCTTCGTTGGGTGTGTCGGTCGCCTCCTGTTCACCACCGGCACTCTGCTGGTCCGCCCATATTACCTTGCTTTCATCCATGCTCTCTACCAAACCCTGCCGACCAAAATCAACATCCAATCATAGAAACACGAATCTCCTCTATTTTACGACAATGGCGGTTAAGATAAATTCCTGTAAATGTTTAACTAATTCTCACAATACAGAATAATTTTTTTAAGCTACAACACACACACACACATTATAGATACTAAGACCACTGTGTGTGTGGTCAAGACCCCAAACACCATCATTAAATATATTAGTCTTTATACATAACCTCCACATTTACAGCCGTCGATCACTTGAGGTGCCTGACGAGGGTATAGGGAGTACTCTTGCTGTTACATACTATCTCTCATCTCACTCTAATACACCTATACACACCATCCACAGTGAACTCTTACTATATAAATTCATCTAAATCTCCGGACATAAGCTATCAGTGTGTGAAATTTACGACAGGGAACAAAACACCGACTCGGCCGACTAAATTGTGATGGTTGGAGCCCGTTGGAGCGGTGCACCCGAGCGTCGCCGTGGATGAGTGAATCTCTAGTCATGATTTATAACTTTCACATGGACTAGGGTTCCACTCATCGACAGGGACACCTACTGTTGACCCTTACTGTGGGTCATATTGTCAGGCTAGGTCAGTCAGCTTGAATTTCTGAAATGATTATAAAGACGAAATATTTAATTACTAAACATAACCATTGTACCATTATTACACATAACGGCCTTCTCTCTCCATATAGTCCATTAGAGGCAAGTTTCACATCTAATGAACCCTTGATATAATGGACTTTCATCTCTATATAGTTCATTAGATGGAGGTTTCACATCTAATGGACCCTCGACATAATGGACTTTCATCTCTATATAGTTCATTAGATGGAGGTTTCACATCTAATGGAACCTCAATATAATGGACTTTCATCTCCATACAATCCATTAAATAAAAGTTTCACCACGCAGTAAATTCACAAGCCAACAGGAAGGTATTCTTGATCACCAACCCTTAATGGTGGCAACCGGGTGCGTGTAGACCAGTGTTGAGCGCAATGGATAAGTAGTCCTCTAGTCATGTTTAGAATCACCATGAACTACAGCACTACTCACCAATCACGCTGTAGAACTTCTTCTTCCTCCAATCACCAATCACACTGTAGAACTTCCTCCTCTCCTACACCAACACACACCCTAAACCTAACCTAACAAAAACTCAACCTAACCTAACCAATACATTTACAAAAGGGGAAGACAAATTTGCCGAGAGAAAAAAAAAATAGATAATGACAATAACAAAGGGTTCGTTCAGGTTCCTCACGACAACACTCATCAGTTTGGCCCGGCAAGAGCACAAAACACCCACCCACCCACACACCTTAAACACCTCCTCCATCTCGGGCGTACAGTTATTATACGCCCGCAGCTGCACGTAAAACCGCCTGGCCGCCATCAGAAGAACGTTGATCAGTTGTTCCGATGCGTTCTGCTCGTTAAAACCTTCCTGTACCATCCCCTTCAAATACTCCGAGACCTGGTGCAAATCCCGGAGCGCGAGCTGTGGGGGGAGGAGGGGCTTTAGAGGTGATGAGGTCCTAGTGTCTCTTAATGTAATCTACGGTCGTGTTTATTTATTACAACCTAATAGCTTCATCTGGTTGTCTATATACATCAATAGCACTTAAAGAAAAGATAGTTTGTCAATGAGGTTTTGGGTTTTTTCCCCCGACTAAAAACAAAAAAAAGCTTGAATCCATTTATTTTTTGAAGAGGGGGGACATTTTCTTTACTCACATTTGCCTGGTTCTTCTCAATCAGTTGTTGGGAGTGTGCAGATGGCTCACAAGAATTAGGGCCCCAGCGGTTCAGCTCACTCTGGTAATACTCCAGTTTGGACGAGTTGACGGAGAGTTTCGCCTGTAAACTCTGCTGAAGTTTCCTCATCTGACTCAGGAGATTATTGAGGTTGCAGAGTGTACGTTCGCATTTGGACATACTCTGTGGGTTGGGTGAGGGCAGTGTTAAGATGCTGTAGCTATTGGATTACTCACTGGGGACATACAGAATCTCCTATGAAACATTTTTATCGACATGTATAGAAAAAACACCAAAATTATATTATCCACATGAATGTACATTTGCCTGGGTGTACACTTAATGCTGATAACCACATAATGAAAACAAAAGGTTCCCAAGTGCTTTCGTGCATTTTAGATCTTGGGAACTTCGTGTTTTCCCCGTGTGGTTATCAGCATATACATGGATCTCACACACACACACATCCCCATTTATCAGAACCACCACCAGTATAATTGTTACCTTATCTAACTTCTTGGAGGCAAAGGCTATTATCTTCATTCTATTAAGATGAGCGGTACACGTGTGAACCTTGAACTCTGTCTCGCGCTGAGAACTCTCCAGCTGCAGTAGTTCCCACCTCAGGGCCTTGCGTTCCCTACACGCCTCCAGCAGTCTCGCCTGAGCCTCTGCTTCTTCTTCTGTGACGGCGGGCGTTGGGGATTCTTCTCCCGACACTGTCGCATCCCTGGACTTCTCCTGCTGGATAAAATACAACATCGAGATTTTTTTTTTCCCAGCGTACATCTGACCACAAGCCATATTGTTCCTGGACTCGAGTAACACATCTGACTCTACCTTGTGGTCGATCACTGAACAAAGGTTGGGAGTCTTAACAGCTATGACTCACCATCATAACCACTCTACTAATGAATATATCTGGTGCAGAAAATAGTCCTCAATTACGACTACTGTACTAACCAACCTTCTGTTCTGGCTATAATACCTTCCCAGTGAGTAAAACTGACAGAGGTATCGTCATTAATCGGAGTAAAATATTAAATAATGTCAAATTTAAGCATGAAAATATATTATTCATTGTTCCTCTTGTAGTGATGAAGGTAATAAACAAACCATTACTATATTACCTGAAGCTGTTTTTCCAAGTTGGCTATTTTCTCCTCATATTCCTTCTGTCGGTGAGATGTTAACTCTGAGGGCTGCGATGTATCGCTCTGGGCCTCCAACTCTTGTCCCCTCTCTTCATACTTATTAATCTGTAATTTAAAAAAAAAAAACAAGTGAAGAGCAACAGAAGGCACACTAACACAGGGAAACGTTACCAATCTATACACACTCGTCTCCGTACCCCTCTCTACCAAAACGTTTATTAAGATACGGCCAATCAAAACCCACCGAGACCCCCAAGGAAAAAGAGCTGTAAACCCCCGACACGTTCGGGTATCGGCTGGGCTAATATTTGTCTTGGGGGTGTCGTTGTTTATTGGATTGGCTGTATGATATCATGTAAACGAGACAACACTTCTTATGCTCCAGGAAGTAAGGTTAAGCTGAGTGAGAGGAGAGAGAAGAAAAGAGGAGAAATAAAGAGAAAACCCACCATGCTTACTACTACCAGTGCAAGACGTCTAGCTCCCTAAAGTACGACCACCCACAGTATCTCACCTTCTCCTTCATGCTGCAGAGCTCTTGTCTCAGCTCGTCGACAATCTTGACGTAGTTCGACACATGCTGATCCACGTTGAGTAGATTCTTCTTTATCTGTAAGTGAAGATTTTAAATGAGATGATCTTTCAGCCTAGTCGGTCGCCTTAACACACATCCATAATAAAAAAAAATGAAATAACTTAATAAATAAATAGAAATAAAGACATAAGACTATTGAGGCTGCAGGGGGCAAGAGGGGCGCATCGACCAACGCCACGTTCCAAGAGGTTTTGTTTGGCTCACGTTAGATTGTTTTTCTCCGTAACGCACGGCACAAAATGAGCTAAACCGGTCTCAAACAATAGGAAATTTAGTTTACTTTAAGATTATGTTATACCCTAATGCATCAGTTCGGTCTAAGTTGGTTGATTCCGGTCATCTTACCCCAAGCGTATTTATCTAGACTGCAAATATCAACGACTCAATATTCAAGGGTTTTAAACACAGAACCTTACCGTAGTCTTTATCGTCTTGGCTCGATTGGCGTAGCGCAGTGTGTTGAAGGTGTCCTCAAAGGTGGTGGACGCCGAGGACACCGCTGCTATCATAACACTTCGACAGTTTCCCCCGAGAGAATCTTTTAAGAGGCGTGTTAGCTTACTGTCGCGGTATGGGATGTGCCGCTGTCCGTCTGCCAGTGCGTTGATGCAATTTCCTGAAAAAATTCAGTTTGTTTAATTATAATGTCACATTACAAGTCTTATTAGATTACTAAGAGCATAAATTTGTGTAAATGAGGACACAGGTAAAGTGTTTATCTTTCACCAGGTAGACAGTGCTCAGAGGACAGCCCTTATATCACTAAATATTCCGTTAAATCTCTCTAAGTCAACCCAACAAAAACTCAAATTGTTCAAGTTAATAAGTAATAAGCAAATTCCCCCCCAAAAAATCTAATTACTGTATGTTTAATCAAGCAAAACTTAACCCAATGAAGGAGGAATAATTTTAGGTTTGTAGATCAGATGGTGTGGAAGGTCCTAAATCTTATCTAACCATCAGGATCAACATTCACTTGAATTTGTAAGAATGCAGCTGATTGGCTGGACACCCAGAGTCACTGCAGCTCTCAATCTACCATCTCCTGATATTTTAAGGGATAACTCTTCTGTGTTCATCTGTTAATTTACACACTTGGGGAAGCAAAGATTATCTCATCAAACCCTAGTCATAAAAACCTCTTCAAGGAACACAAACATAATGAAATAGATAAGTGACAGACGCCTCCATGTCACTTAGCATCCCTGAAATATTGTAATCTTTTTCTTCTTTTATATTAATTTCTTGACCTGCCCCTGGCTCTCCTACTCCTGCACCTCTTGACCCAGTTAGTCTCCACGAGTGAACCATCTCAGACACACACGTGACCCCTCATTATCTCTTCTATACTTGTTTGGGTTGGATCAAGAGATACAAAAACATATGAAAGGAAATAAGTGGAAGAAGAGTCGGCTATTAGACATGTATCTTCCCCCGGCATACCCAGTACCAAAGTGAAGTTGACTACCACCGCACCAATACACAGGCAGCGATGGACCAGATGACATACCCAGGGCAAGGAGAGACTTGTTTATGCTGGCACCTTCTCTAAACCTGGCTCCCTTGAACCCCGTGGAGGCCCCTCGTTCAGAACCAGCAAGGTCGATCATGGACAACTTAGCGATGGCCTTAACGTTTGCGATGCGATCGTGTTGACGAACGAAGACCTGGAGGAATCAACCGATTAGAAATATTCCGACGAATGTAAGTATAAATTAATGTTTACGGTAGATATGAAAGAGGACATAAATATGGGTTATTGAGCATCATTTTCTGCTGACATCTGGCTCTAGTCGCCATCTTGGGAATAATTCTGTAAATTATCTAAAGAATCTAGACACTATTCCTAACATGAACCCCTGGTGATGATGACTTAACCAACAAAGTAAACTAATAACATGAACAACGTCAGTCACCTCTTCTACTGAAACGTGAACACCGAGATTAAAAGCCGTGAATCTGAAGCATTTATGGATGGAATAATGTATCAGTCTACTGCTTCGGGTTCACTAGTCTGAATCCTCCCATATGGTCCGCTAAATAGAGGTTCCACATCTAACGGACCCTCAATATAATGGACTTTCCTCCCATATGGTCCACTAAATAGAGGTTCCACATCTAACGGACCCTCAATATAATGGACTTTCCTCCCACATGGTCCATTTTATAGAGGTTCCAGCTTACATAAACAACGAAGACTGACCCACTCACCTGAAACACAGCATGGGACCTGGATGACTCGGCATTAGCGTCGGTGGGGTGCTGCGTTCGGTTCTGGTTACCTCTCGCCAACAGCTGCATCAATTCCTGCGGGTTGTCGGGCTTGTGAAGCGACAGACCAGGGATCAGAACTTGCTGGCCGTTCTCCTGCACGTTGAGTGGCTTACCTGGCTGTAGGAGGTCGCGCACCATCTCATTATATACCTGGAGGGAGTGAGACATCTATATCCCTCACCCGATTGACATATTTGTGGAAATATAATCAGAGCTTAATTTTCATCACGGGGTAAACGTGCGTAAAAATCCTTGATGGGTAACAGTCATTGTCTCCGCGTTAAATTAAGAAGCGAAATTTAGACACAAACTGGTAGACAAGTCCAGCGTAATTATATAAGGTACGCATCTAAACTGAACTGCTTAGGGGTGCCTCGGCTAGTGAATTTTACTCCCCACACACCAGATACTAATATTTTACTTTACTTCTCAACAAATAGACCAATTGCCAGCCTACCCCTTCACACCTACAGTAGTCGTTTATCTTTAAGAGAACTTACCATACACACGGTCTTTGGTCTTATTTCTATCTATTCATATCAGTTCCTCCTCCATCAACCTGGCCCACTCAGTCTTATAACATCATCTATATATATTATATTTGGTGTTTTCTATAAATTTTCTCGTCTATAGGTAAAATGTTTGTTTCGGTCGTTCCTGTATTTATATAACCCCCAAAAATTAGTGATTTCTCGCAGATATAAAGGTCCAAATAATTAAAAACGCATCAAATTCATTAAGAAACAGTTTGGATGTCTAACCTAAGCAAACCTAACCTAACCTAACCTGATGACCATAACTAAAATAATACCCATCAGTAAAACCTACATCATGCAATCAGCTACAGAGACGCACCTAATAACTCGGGGAAAACATTAAAACCAATTATTCGGTGATGTTAATTATTCTTGATATTTAGAGGAGGAGGAGGAGGATGGGGGTGCACAATAAACTAGCCATGGTCTACTGGGGGGGATGGAGGGAGGGAGGGAATCAGGGCCAAAGGAGGATTGGATGCACAATTAACTAAGCACAGTCTACAGGAAAAAGGGGATTGGGGAGAGAGGGGGGGGGGGTGGTTAAGGAGCACACCCAAGACTGACCTCTATGTAGGAGATCCTCACTTCGCAGGTCTTCTCCTCCTTGATCTCCTCGATGCGGCGGTAGAGCTCCATCAGCGTGAGGAAGGTGATCCCCGGGGCGTCCACCTTCCCCAGCATGGTGAAGGTCTTGCCGGCACCTGTGGCCCCGTAGGCAAACACTGTCAGGGAGGGAGGGGGGTTATTGCTCTTCCTTAACGAAGACGACGCCTACAATTGACACCACTTGACTAGACATTATCCACTACATATAATAATAAATAAGGTTGAAATTTGTTTTTAATAAATTCCATGAACCGGCAATTTTTTTTTAATTCCTTTTTGCCGACTGACTTATATCGAGAGAGAGAGAGAGATAAATTACACCATCTTACCAGAGCAGTTGTAGCCACTAAGCACCGTGTTAATGAGGTCTTTGGTCGTTGACTCGTAAATATACTCGTTGGTCGACTCTTCGTTAAAAATCTTCTCGAAAACAAACTTCTGTTCCTTGTTCTGCCGTTTGTTGAGGTCCCGCGTTCGCTGACGCACGCCCCTAAAGAAGAATCCATCGTCTTCTTCCTTAGGGTCGAATACTAACATGTGATCGTCTATAATGTTGACAACACATCTGAAACGGAAACATCCACAAGGAGATGTGCTTTAGGGTCAATACGCATCACAGAGATTAATCTATTTCGACACATCTTATAAGTTAATCTAATTCTATGGATCACCTGAGTTAATCTAATCCTACACATCTCAGGTTAATCTAATCCTACACATCCCAAGTTAATCTAATCCTGCACATCCCAGGTTAATCTAATCCTACACATCCCAGGTAAATCTAATCCTACACATCTCAGGTTAATCTAATCCTACACATCCCAGGTTAATCTAATCCTACACATCCCAGGTAAATCTAATCCTACACATCTCAGGTTAATCTAATCCTACACATCCCAGGTTAATCTAATCCTACACATCCCAAGTTAATCTAATCCTACACATCTCAGGTTAATCTAATCCTACACATCCCAGGAGCCACAACACCAACCTCGCGTTGTTCTCCTGCTCCCGCTGGTTCTGTGGCCTCACCCTCACCACCACCTTCAGATTAGCCTTTGACGCCGCCCCAAACTGCACCTCACTGCTGAGCCGCCTGATGAGAGCTTTCTTGCGGAGAGACGTGTTGTTCCGCTTGGGGGACTTGATCGGAGAGTGGACCCTTTTCAACACTTTTCTGTTCAATGTCATCTTGTCTGCCAATAAATAAACAAATAAATACATAAATAAATAAAAATAATGGACAGTTTCATGACGATTACACAGATGGTAAATGAATATAATGTGTACTTTGTTATCCAGCATTCCTTCGACGGGGACTCTAGGTTAACAGCACTAAGAGAGAGATATATTACCCATTATATCTCCCGATTAAACACACTCATTCAATACCTGGTTGGCCAATTGACCCCAGACCTAATTCTACCATTAAGCCATAAAATAAAATAATTGTAAAATAATAAAATAAAAAGCCAATTAATTAAAAAAAAAAAAGTGGCAAGTTATCTACCTGATCTGGAAGTGAAGTTCTTACACCACACATCACAGCATAGCACAGCACATCACAGTACCAACACATGTACAATACCATACTCTCAACCAATTACTCTAGTGTTTTCGTCGGAAATTTATAGTTTTCGGGTAATGGTATTTTCGCTTTAGCGAGTACAAGTTCACGGCCATATAATACATTGTTTACTTCTTACTCGGCCAATCAGTGGAGGTGTCAACATCGTGTGATACTCGTGGGGATACTCTTACTTAAGCTTGGGAGCAATTTTTTTTTTTTTAAGTTCTATTTCATTAGGTTCCTCATTTTTTTTCTAATTGGGTTAGGTTAGGTTTACACACCAGGTGGTTATATCGGGTCCTTTTGGTTTCTCTGTACATATTTAAGTCGTTAGGTTTTGTCTGTTCTTACCCCATAACCCCACCCACTTTGTAACCAAAATATTTCTTTGAGTGAAATTGAACACAAAATTAACAATACAAATTTCTGATGAAATTTTTTTTTCCCTATACTACAAATCAATAAGGTAAGCTCCCCAATGCTGTACCCTGAATAGAAATTGGCTCGGTCTGAGAAAACTCCCTCCATTCTGGGTCTGTGAATGAGTTTTGGGAATTCAAAATCAGGCATATTTTTCTGTTCTGGGTCGAGGAACAAATTCCAACGATGAAACGGCCAATTTCAGGACAAATTCTGAGAAAGTCTCTCCTAACTTTCCTGCTCTGGGGCGAGGACTAAGTTCTCCTAGGAATAATGAAAGGTTGCATTATGCTCCCAGGTCCTCAGTGATGGTGTGTGGGTGGGAAGACTGCCCAGACAACCTTTGACTGACTACTGCTGTCATGTGACTGATGGATCTACTAAATTATCCCCCCCCTCCCCCAAGGCTATCATCAGGACACACCTAGTTCATTGTCTGCAGCCATTCTACAAGGTTGATCACTAGCTCGGTCCTGTTAGTTTGTTTGTTAAATTGCATCGTGCAGTGGTGTATCAGGACAACCAGCCAGGACTAGTGTTAAGATGTGTCACTACAGGGAGAAGAGGAGTGACAGTACAGGACAGCAGGCCATCCTCTATCACTATCTGCACTGCCTGTATCACAACCTCCAAGTAACAGCATCTCCTGGTCACTACAGTACAGTACTCTATAGATTTGATTTTCTTTGTTTATATTGTGCTTTTTTTTTTACAGTAGTATTTACAATATACGGTATTATATGTGTACAGCGGCATTTGCATCAATAAATACAGCTCTGTGTCTGTCATTTCAAGATGCCTAGTTTAGACTCGGAAAAAATTCCCAGAACCCGGACGCATTCCAGTGATGTGTATTTTAGACTAAAAAACTTTTCCCAGTAAATGGAGAAAAAATCCAGTTCCTTATGTGGGATTTTTTGGATTTGAGTCGTCTCATTACCCAGAAACCTCCCATCCCAAGAAGAACCGTGCACCAATTATTCCGGCTAATGGGGACATCACCACACAAATACTGTATACAGTTCTGGGCATGGTTGCTACTGAATATTTACCCATAATAATAAAAATGAAAAGGTCAAACTTAACATACAGACACCCACGTTGATGACACCTTACTCATACTGGTCTTGTTTCTGTGTGGCAGTGACTTATTAAACAGATCTATCCAGAGTATCATTAACATACAATAACATAACTAATTGTATATGTGTTGGCCAATATTCTCACTCTTAGTTCTTTTATATCCTTATTACTACTGTACTTCATTCTTGACGGCGACGAGTCACAAGAAGAATTTCCCGACGATGTCGGCAACTCCTTAGAACAAGTTCGTTATACGGGAAAAAGTACCAGAAAGGAGCCCCGAATTGGGTTTACAAAGGGAAAATCTTGTCTAACAAATCTGCTGACGTTTTTTAGGAAAGTCTTCGAAGTAGTAGATAATGACGAAAATTACGATGTTATTTACTTAGACTTTAGCAAAGCATTTGACAGAGTACCGCATCAGAGGCTTCTGAGAAAAGTTAAGGCTCATGGTATAGAGGGGAAAGTTTTAAATTGGATAAAATCATGGCTCACCTATAGAACACAGAGGGTCAGCGTAGATGGTGTTAAATCTGAGTGGGGCCGTGTAACCAGTGGGGTTCCCCAGGGGTCAGTACTAGGCCCACTCTTGTTCATAATCTACATAAACGATCTAGATACTGGGATGAGCAGTGACATAAGCAAGTTTGCAGATGACACCAAAATAGGGCGGCAGATTAATTCAGGGCAGGATGCAAATGCCTTACAGGAGGATTTAAATAAACTGCAGGAGTGGTCTGAAAAATGGCAAATGAAATTCAACACCAGCAAGTGCAGCGTACTTAATATTGGAAGAACAAATACTGTCAATGTATACAGCCTTAACAACATCAACCTAGAGAAGTCGACTTGTGAAAGAGACCTAGGGGTACTTGTAAGCCCGGACCTACGGCCTAGAAAACAGTGCGTTAATGTTCGAAATAAGGCAAACAGAGTATTAGGTTTTATATCTAGAAGTGTAAGTAATAAGAGTGCAGAGGTCTTATTGCAACTATATCTTGCGCTAGTCAGGCGCACCTCCATTATGCAGTTCAGTTCTGGTGCCCTTATTATAGAATGGATATCAATTCACTGGAGTCGGTGCAGCGAAGAATGACGAAAATGATTCCGGGACTTAGAAACCTTCCATATCAAGATAGGTTAAAGAAACTAAACTTGCATTCCCTAGAAAGACGAAGAGTGCGGGGAGATATGATAGAAGTATTTAAGTGGGTGAAAGGAATCAATAAAGGCGATATAGATAAAGTTCTTATAATATCCGAGCAGGATAGACTCGGAACAACGGATTTAAGTTGGATAAATTTAGGTTTAGGAGGGAGATAGGAAGGAACTGGTTCACAAATAGGGTGGTGGACGAGTGGAACAAGCTTACAACTTTGTAGTAAGTGCTGGAAGTTTTAAAAGGAGGCTAGATAGATTCATGGATGAAGAGAGGGGTCCGACTAATTACCCAAATGTAGCCGCAATGAAGTCAAATAATGGTCCTACATGAATAAATCGGACTGCTAATCACTTCTCGACTAGTATTTGGTGTCACAAAGTAAAAAAAAAATTGGAAAACGTAATTTAATTTGAGTTAATAGATCGAGTGCATGTACCAAACCTAACCTAACCTCGACTAGTATTTGGTGTCACGAAGTCACAAAAAATTGGTAAACTTAATTTAATCTGAGTTAATAATAGATCAAGTGCATGTACCTAACCTAACCTAATTTAATCTAACCTAACAACACAACTCCGATTAAATTAAGTTTACCAATTTTTTGTGACTTTATGACACCAAATAATAATCGAGAAGTGATTCACAGCCTGATTTACTCTTGTAGGACCATCATTTGACATCATTGCGGCTGCATTTGGATAATTACTCGCTCCCTCGGTACATGCAAGCGATCTATTAACTCAGATTAAAGTAAGTTTTCCAATTTTTTGTGACTTTGTGACACCAAATACTAGTCGAGAAGTGATTAGCAGTCTGATATATTCATGTAGGACCATTATTTGACTTCATTGCGGCTACATTTGGGTAATTAGTCGCTCCCTCGGTACATGCAAGCGATCTATTAACTCAGATTAAAGTAAGTTTTCCAATTTTTTGTGACTTTGTGACACCAAATACTAGTCGAGAAGTGATTAGCAGTCTGATATATTCATGTAGGACCATTATTTGACTTCATTGCGGCTACATTTGGGTAATTAGTCGGACCTAGAGAGTGGTAGTAACTCTCGACAGGAGCTGCCAACCGGCCTATTGCAGACTCCTTATTTTCTTATGTTCTTATCATGTACTGTATACTAACTGATTTATTTACAAAAAGCTAAGGCTGGAAAATCAATCTGTTATATTCATGTCTATATTTTGTCGACTTATGACTATTTTAAAAACTTACCTCACCAAGTTTATAAATTGAAACTGACAAATCAATTAACCTGAAATTTATAACTAACAAGTAATTCTAAACCACAGTGTGAAATATATACCTGTAGTGTAATGTTTGTGAGACAGAATAACTTATAATAATACAACCATTTTAAAGCTGTATTACACTTCACTATTACACTACACTTTCCTTCAAGATTTACATACATCCATACACAGTCATACACGGTAATAGTCACACACACATACATCCATACACGGTAAAAGTCATACACACATTCATCCATACACAGTCATACACGGTAATAGCCATACACACATACATCCATACACAGTCATACACGGTAATAGTCATACACACATACATCCATACACAGTCATACACGGTAATAGTCACACACACATACATCCATACACGGTAAAAGTCATACACACATTCATCCATACACAGTCATACACGGTAATAGTCACACACACATACATCCATACACAGTCATACACGGTAATAGTCACACACACATACATCCATACACAGTCATACACGGTAATAGTCACACACACATACATCCATACACAGTCATACACGGTAATAGTCACACACACACACATCCATACACAGTCATACAGCCATACACAGTCATACACATTAAATAATAATTAATAGTTGAAATAAATGAAAGAACAGACGCTAACGACCACACACCTAAAAACACCTCAAAACCTTAATCACCTTCAACTACCACATGACTAATTACCTCTACGATAGTTTAGACATTAATTAAGATCATTACTATATCTAAGAGAAATAGAGAATAAAAATAAATCCTAAAAATAAGAAATTCAAACTTTTTTTTTCACCTTGGGGTCAAATTTTCTGAGTAAATATCCGGATAATTTATCGTATATCCGGTGTTTTAAGTCTTTTTAAGGGTATATACGGATATATTAGGTTAATAGGGAGTTTAATAGTACAAAATAACACTAACCTTCATTAAAATAACGTCAAATTTAGTGGAAATAGAGTAATAATGACATGATGGTCCCGTCCACCGCTGTCTTGTTTGAATTCCCTGGCAGAGTGGCGTCGTCCATTTAAATCTGACTGACCAATGAGCGCTCATCTTTGAACTTTTTAACCAATGAACGCACAGCAGCTGAAGAACCTATCCACCAATCATGTTGTTTCTTTTTGGCGGGATGGTTTAAATATTTTTATATATTTTTATTTTCTATATTTTACCTGTTTTAACTATAATATTCTAGGGTAATGGTTAATTTTATTTATTTTTGTGTTTATTATATTGTTTATTTGTGAGGTATTTATTGTTTGGGGTGATATTATGTGTTAGGTGAGTTAGGTTCACTTCACCCGCCCCACCCAACTGAAAGAAGCTTTGTCTTGGTTCTTTTTATTTATATCTTATATTATTGTCTTATTACTTAATTATTTATCTATTTAATAAAGATAAATATAAAGTAAAAACCTAAAGACTTAGATATTGGAAGAAACCAGTATTATTTATTTTATTGTTATATACCGGCTGCTTATTAACTCACAAACTTAATGTAGTGTTATTTAAAATGAAATTATTAATAAATAGTATTTAATTAGTCAATAGTAAAATATATTCATTGTTATATATTATTATTTTCTTTGTGTAAATTAGAGGGAAATTATTGGTACATTTGTCCGATTATACCAACGATGACTTAAGTTTAGTTTAAAATTTTATATAAACTATTAAAGAAAATTAAACATATCAAGTTTGTATATAAGATTATTTTATTACTTACTTAATAATATATCAATAAAATAGCTTTGAGTTGTTTAGTTATAAATAAAAAAGTAAAATTAATGATATCGGACAAAGAGCCCTGGCTGGCCTGGCCGCCTGAGCCACCACAAACTTTTATGTTTTTCTTAATTTTCTCCCAAACTGTAATTTTTTACGTCTTTTTAATAAACTTATCATGTAGTTTAAATAATTATAAAACACTTTTCTTCTATGATATTTTCGTCCAAAATTAATATGTGGATAGAATCACACCAAACAAATCTTTGATAACCTGACTTAATGTAATCCCTCCTTATCTGAACACCGAAAACGCGTTCCATCGTCTACTAAACACCGAAAACACAAGCACGTACTAAACACCGAAAAATTTATCTCCTAAAAACCGAAAACAATCCAAACCTTTACTAAACACCGAAAACACTAACACCGAAAAAAAAAAGCCTATACTAAATACAGAAAACAAGACTAACATCTACTAAACGCCGAAAACACACCACTAACACCAACTAAACACCGAAAATCTGAATATAGTAACATTAGCCCACATTAAACAATATTATGGGTAATTTTATCAGTTAAAATACTCGAAAAATATAAATTCCCGATGAAAATGTCAGAAGAAAAATGTTTTAAAATTATCTAAACTACATAAGTATATTAAAAAAGGTCGTAAAAAGTTGTGGGGTAATTAAAAGCAATACTACCGTTACTTTTTGTTAATATATGTAATTTCCTGTCTATCTCAACATGTGGAACACTACCATTTTTTCTTATGGCCTTTTTTTACACTAACATTTGTTTTTCTTGTCCTGCATTTAAGACATTTCATCAATCTTCAACCATAATCTAGCCATTTTCCCTATATTATTTACCTGTGTTAACTATGATGGTGACAGGTGGTTAGCCAGTCTTTAACCTGCAGTAACAGTGTCTGATCTTAGTCTCTTAGTGCTTAAGATTTGTTGTACTTTTCCAGAGCATAAAACAGTCACGGCTGCATCAAGGTTACATAGCGTCTTCGTGAATGTCTTTTTTTTTTAATGTTCAGATATGTCGACCCTACCCTACACTATGTTTCTCCATTCTCTCTCTCTACCACCCCTATCCCAATCTAATTTTTCCTTATATATACTCTATATCAATTCTTCCTACGTTACAAACATAATCATTGGTGTTGTGAGGTATTTTCTAATCAATCTATCCACACATACTACCGACCTATCCATATACACTATACTTACCCACCCACACTGCCTACCTATCTACCCACACACCACCAACCCATCTACCCACACACCACCAACCCACACACACACACCACCAACCCATCTACCCACACACCACCAACCCACACACACAAACCACCCACACTACCTACCCACATGGACACCACACCTACCCACACACATCTCAAAAATACTGACTTACCCTGGTGGAGGACTTGGGTCGATCCAGCATCATTTTGGGAGATGGAACTTTTCATCATCCAAACTATTTAATAAAACAACAAATATTTTCCTTGAAGGTTAAGAAAAAATCCCAGAATTATTTAATTTGTTTTATTATTTTATTACAAAAAAGATTCTTAACACAGCCTGCAGCAAAAGTATAATTTACAGCCAAGAACAGAGTAGCACAAAATAAATATAGTTTTATTTCAAATGATTTATGTATTTAGCAAATGTGGTGATGAATAAAATTTTGAAAAACGAAAAAAAAATGAAAAAAAAAATCACCTAATAAGAAAAAATTTTGATTACAAGTTGATATGATAATTTGTAAACGGGCCAGAATTTTTAAACTTATCCGCAAAAATCCGATTTAATGATAAAACTTCCGATTCTGTGAGTGAAAATGAAACACGTGATATGAGGCTATTTTTAGCGATTTACATCATCTACCAATTAAAATTTCTCATGATAAAAATATAAATGTACAACTTGGCGAGACGCGGGAAGCTGTCTCCCCAAGTACTGTACAAGATCAGTTTATTTAATAGAGAACCCTAAGCGATTAATTTTACAACGTGCAATAAACAAAGTCGGGTTACATTATCGAGAAATTAAAAAAAAATGTCCTATGGAATTTTAGTTTTTGTTTATTACACTTTATGAAATATATTATTCACTTGATGTTCTCGAGCAAAAATAATGACACCATCACGAAACTCGATCCCAAAGGCCAAGTCCAATTTATTCAAGATTTTACGTCATTTATAAATTTAGCGACACTTCAACACTATGAATTACACGACGGGAAAAACGTTACGTAATTGGTGGGCCTATTGAGGTTTTTTTTTAAATAATTACATCTGCAGCGAACGTTAACACCGAACAACCAATTGCACGAACACGTTTTAACACTTCCTTGGTAGCGTTTATAAGAGGTGATTATCCTTCACTCCAGGTAAAGAATTTCCTCTTTGTCCGAGACGAATCGAGATGGCTCAAATTTAATTAAACCCATCCTATATTAATTAGTAAAATAAACCACGAGGTGTCTATCTGCAAATTACATAGCACTGCAAGTTGTACATTAAGCAAAATAAAAACATTACTGTGAACAAGTTACAAAGGTACTACTACACAGTGATTGAAATTACAAGTTCTGAATGTCACAAGGCCCCATAAAGTAAAAGCTCCAACTGAATATATTTCCAAGTCCGAGAAATTATGCCGGCTAGAACGCAGGAAATCCGAATGAATCGTTAGGGAGCACCAGGCGGTAACAATTCTATTGGTCGTTTCCCACTCTTGAATCCATAACTATCAAAACGAGCTTCTTCGTTGGCTTTACCGAATAATGATATAGTTCCGTCAAAATTGTCAACAACACACACACACACGCAACTGCCACTACGTACATATAATGAACGTTTCGACTGCCTTTGAAGACGATACTTGTTGATTTTCACACCGTGGGTCAGAGAAGATACCCACAATGCTCGACAAAAATGACAGCGGATTAAAATCACACACACACGTTGACCACCGATTAAAAAAATACAATAATTGCATGTCGTTAGGTACAGGTAATTACAGGTACACAATACTGTATATATATATATATATTTATATATATAAATTTCAACAGTTACTTCTTCTAAGTCTTGTGAAATATTAGTGAGCAACATTATGCAACAATCTTCATCCAATGTAAAATACAATAGTTTAGTTTATCTTAAATACATCATAAATGCAGTATACATTATCATCTCCAACAAGAACAGGGAGAAGAGTTTTACACAATAAATCTGATTATATAATTAAGTCTTACATAACCTTACTGTCAACTGAATTTCATAATAAATGACCCTAACTTCAAAATACAGTATAAAGAAACTTCAGGAATACATTAAACAACACTGAAATAATACAATTCATTTTATATATAAGAATAGATTTTTTTTCATTGCCATATTGGTGAAAAAATAGAACACTGGCATAACACAAAACCAATTACAGTCCCCAAATTCAGATGTATTTTGAAACAGACTTTATACTGTATTAGTGTATGTTTATGTATGCCCTAAACTCTTAAATATATAAGAGGTATTAAAACAATTCCTTCACTATCTCCTATATTGCATAATTGTTGTACGAGTCAACCCAGATATTGTAGTATTAGAATCTATTTTTGTGGTGTATTTTAGAATTTTTTTCAATTACCTGTAGATGGATTTTTTTTTTTAAATCTTAGCTGTCAATAAATCGAGTCATGTGTGTTTATGATGTGTTGAGGATGTTTACAACCAGAAAATGGATATATAAGCTCTTAAAATATTAATACCAGATGTTTAATACAACATTGGTGAATCCATTTTGGCAATACTGAACAGCTCTTGAAGATTTACCCACACGTTGTTAATATTCCCAAACACCAGAAGCAAATGTCCCGATGTTTACATAAATTACGGATAAATTTAACACAATACAGGATTTTTAAATTAATACTGTTTGACACTTGAGCAGACATATGTTTCATTTACATACACAAGGCATCTCGGAAAAACATACTCGCACACTGCCATACACACGTAAATGCTCGTAATACAATACCAACATTGTTCGGACTTAGCACAAAGCCAATGTTGTTATACCTGTACGTACGAGCGTTTACGTCTCTCCACAAAAATAATCAATGTTGGTTTTGTAAGAGAACCATTTACCCACTCTCCATGAAAACCTGTAAGGCAGTTAATGAAAACTTTTGAGACCCCATATACCTCATCTCATTTTACAAAGCCAAGGAAGAAATAACATGCCTGTCTGTCTGTACTGTATATTTTCCTCGTTGTGGCGTTGAAACATTGCCTAACCGAAAAAAAAAAATACTTGGCTCGTAGGAATTGATTTCTTATTCGGCTCCACCAGTAGTTTTTGACGACAATAGGAATGCCAAGTGTGGTTTTATTTTCTCCGGGCATTTTATATCTCGGACATAAGCCTCTCAGTTCTATGACCAAGCTAAATATTACGAAAAGTCACACAGTGGTTTTGTTATGTTAATACTTTGTAGTTCTGCATAGAGTCAAGCGGCTGCCACGTTAAAATATCTACTTACGGTCTTAGTAAATGGATCCACTTAAGTTTGATAAAGATCCCGATAATATATGCGAAGAGGACGAGGTTAATGTATCGTCCTCACATGCAGGCAACAACACGTCTTTAAAGAGTGATAGATAGTTTTTCTCGATAGCTGGACACTTGGCATAGATTACCGACCACGTTATATAGACAGAAGCTACTAAGGCCCGTACATTTATAACTGCAAATAACACGGCTCCAAATACCATTACAAAAGTCAAAGCACTGTACATTATGCTAAAAATCTGACTAAGATTCTGAATGGTGCACGTTACCCTACAGCGAACTAGTGCGGTAAATTTATCTTTGTGGTAATTGTTAAGAACGGAACTTTTAATACGGTATTACGCGCGACTTAAGCTTTAGACGTGAGCGAAATTTTAAAATGATCTATTTAAAACAGCAACAGTAAAGGAGAAAAAAAAAAGAGAGAGAGAGAGAGAGAGAGAGAGAGAATTACTGACAACATCAAAAGAGGTCTCTGGTTTAGACACTGTAGTGAATATAAAACAAAAAGTTCACAAATTTTTCCAGAAAGCAGATACGTACCTACTGGTAAGTCAAATTTAAAATATACATCTAAAATAGTCTGTTTTAACTAACTATGTAACAGCCACTGGTTTGCTATGTTAACCAACTAGCCCATAGAGTTTTAATAAGTCATATAATAAAAGCAGATTACCTCTTTGTAAAAAAAAAAACCATACATAAAAGTTGTCACATGGAATTAAAAGATAAACAATTTTGTGTTCAATTCTTACATTTACTTCATAATTAATACAGGTTTTTTGTCTTATGGGCTAGAAAGAAACTGTTCCTTCTTCAGGTCAGGTTTGGATACATAATAGAAATTCCTATCAAACAGGTGCAGCATTTTTTTTGCATCCTGGACAGTATTTACTAGATGTCATGCTGACGTGATCATTACTGTCATCACACACCATACCACCATACAGTAAGGAGGTAGCTCACTGTACAGGGCATGACACTATCCTTACCACCACACAGTAAGGAGGTAACTTACTGTACAGGGCATGACACTATCCTTACCACCACACAGTAAGGAGGTAACTCACTGTACAGGGCATGACACTATCCTTACCACCACACAGTAAGGAGGTAACTCACTGTACAGGGCATGACACTATCCTTACCACCACACAGTAAGGAGGTAACTCACTGTACAGGGCATGACACTATCCTTACCACCACACAGTAAGGAGGTAACTTACTGTACAGGGCATGACACTATCCTTACCACCACACAGTAAGGAGGTAACTTACTGTACAGGGCATGACACTATCCTTACCACCACACAGTAAGGAGGTAAACTCACTGTACAGGCATGACACTGGTCTCTACTACTCACACAGCAGGAGGTAACTCACTGTACAGGGCATGACACTATCCCCACCACCACATGTAAGGAGGTAACTCATCAAAGTGCTAATAATTTTTTGCCCCACCACCACACAGTAAGGAGGGCACATTAATTATTCCCTACCACCACACACAGTAAGGAGGTAACTCATCACACAGGGCATGACACTATCCTCACACAGCAGTGAGAGGCACCATCAAAGCAGGCATGACACTATCTCTACCACTACAGTAAGGAGTAACCTCACTGCACAGGCATGACACTATCTCTACCACCACACAGTAAGGAGGTAACTCACTGTACAGGGCATGACATCATTCTACCACCACACAGCAGTAACTCACTGTACAGTAAGGAGGTAACTCACTGCACAGGGTACACACTATCCTTACTACCACCACCACACAGTAAGGAGGTAACTGACTGTACAGGGCATGACACTATCCTTACCACCACACAGTAAGGAGGTAACTCACTGTACATGGCATGGCACTATCCTTACCACCACACAGTAAGGAGGTAACTCACTGTACAGGGCATGACACTATCCTTACCACCACACAGTAAGGAGGTAACTCACTGTACAGGGCATGACACTATCCTTACCACCACACAGTAAGGAGGTAACTCACTGTACAGGGCATGACACTATCCTTACCACCACACAGTAAGGAGGTAACTTACTGTACAGGGCATGACACTATCCTTACCACCACACAGTAAGGAGGTAACTTACTGTACAGGGCATGACACTATCCTTACCACCACACAGTAAGGAGGTAACTTACTGTACAGGGCATGACACTATCCTTACCACCACACAGTAAGGAGGTAACTCACTGTACAGGGCATGACACTATCCTTACCACCACACAGTAAGGAGGTAACTCACTGTACAGGGCATGACACTATCCTTACCACCAAGAAATGAAAATACAACAGGGCATTAACATCCTGTGGCACTCAAGACCAGTGCCTCGTTTCCAACCTCAGCCACTCAACAGGGAGACATCACCTTCAACAACCGCTGTCCTCAAACAGACTGGTCATTATTATATATCACTTCATTAAAAAAAAAAATTCTTGAACTTTTGTACTGGCTAATATCACAAGAATATATCACAAATTCAAGAGTTTTTAAATACTTCATCTTGTGTGTGAAGTTTGTAATCCATGTTGTGGTTTTGAGTTAATTCAGATGGTCTCATAATATATTTCTAACACCGCTGCACCTGTTTAACGCACTTGAGCTTTGCTGCAACTCATACAACACCATTGGTAGTTTCTCCTGACACTTTTGCGAGGTCTGGCAACACAACATTGCACCGACTGGGAACAGGAAACCCCTAGAAACATGACAATGATAGTCCACTACACACACACAGAGGCTATATTCTTCTCCTAATACTAATACATCCTTTGTGTTGTAGTTCAAATTAATGTTCCTATCAGCTCTGACAGTGACGCCTCATGACAAAATTAACTGGTTTACGCCTCTTAAAAACAAGCTACTATTGCAACCGATAATAGAGCGATCAATTTCCACTTGACGAGACTTCCTGCAATCTTCATACTGAATATACCAAAACTCAGCAGACATTGAGAACAAAACACTTCAGTTATCATCAGGGATCAATGATTAATAAATTACACTGACAAAAAACTGAAACAAGATGGCAGGATTATCATTATCATGTATCTAAACATACAGGCAAGTAATGCAGCAGGTAATATTGTACCTGACCTGCCGGGCTGTTATAGTAGTGTCGTCCCTATAGAGATTCTATTGGAGGAACCTCTGTGGCCAAGGACTCATGAGGAAGTGGAGAGATCCTCAAGTCCTTGTACCAAAACATCCTCGGCAAGGAAGGAGGGCACGGCTGGTCGCTCTTCGCTAGACAGTCCACATTCTCCTTCCCAATGTGCTTTGCCCACACTATGTGACTGGAAGTAAACATGAACCACATTAACAGGAAACATTCACTTCCACATACAGTACAAGTTATTTAACCCCTTCACTACGGGGACGTCACTTTTAATGTTTTATCTGGTGCTGTGAGATGATTCTACTCGGCTCAGAGAGACTCCATACACAAGAGTGTTAATAAATCATAATAAAATGTTTATAATACTAAATAAAGACTAAAATTAATATACTAAATGAAGTTTAACTGAAAGATGAATAAATACTCAATTTGAACTTAAGTTTTATAAGTTCCTATAATATGAACATTTAACAGAGCTTCCTGTACACTCGTTCCAACAAGTATCTCTACATTAAGTTCCAATGAATTCCAAAATAAAAACCTCGACTCCTGTTGTCTCGGTAACTCAAAATCCTTCATCTGCCGAGTCATATTGTCTCAAAAAATCGCAAGGATACAATTTGGAACGAACGTACATCAGCCGAATTAACAAACATTACAAAACATCGTGCCAAAGAACCGCACCGGGTAACTCACCATTGAAATATCCCTTCGCCAGAGCGTGTGACACTTGCCATCACAGAGAGGACAAGGTCGCTCTAAGGAATAACCCCCACACTCCCGGCAGTCAAGAGAAACGTGGTTATCGCTCCAACTAACTCCGCAACTGTAAACAAATAAATTATTCTATTGTTACTTCACTCGTAAAAAGTTCGTATTATGGGATCTATTAATTTCTATTGTTAACATCAATCACAAAAGACTTTATTACTATTATTTTTTAGGAGAATTAGCTATTGTCAAAATCATTCGTCAAGCTTATTATTACAATCATTATCTTTGTATGTTATTAAGACTAGAAGCTTAGAATCCAAGCTTATTTCACCTGAGGATCCAAAACCTTGATGCTGAACTGGAGGGAGAAAAAGGAGGGAGGGGGGGGGAGGGATGGAAGGAGGAAGGAAGGAGGAAGGAGAGGGTGGGAAGGAGGGGAGGAAGGAAGGAGGAGGATGGAAGGAGAGGGAAGGAAGGAGAGAGGGGGGGGAGGGAGGGTTAGGTTAGGTAAGTACATGTAATCAGGGATTTAATCAAGAGGTCGATTAATCAGGGGTGGCTAATCTTCACATGACCTCCTTTATGAAATGGTCTAACTCAATACCAGGTTATGATAAAAACTTAACCTAACTTAACTTAACCTTGATATAATACAGTTTATAAACAAAAACTGGGTTAAGTCAGATCAATAACAGCATAAATTCTTACTTTTAGCAGCAATAGGTCAGGTTAGGTTTGGTTAGGTTAGGTTAGGTTCAGCTAGCTTACATTAGGTTAGGTCAAGTCAATAATGGTAAAAAATAAGCAATCTTACGTGTAGCAGGAATTGAACTGAGAGCGCAGGTCTTCAAGAGTCATCATGGGCTCGGCAACTTGGGCAGGATACTCGTGATTCATCAGGTCAAGTCGTGACAAGGACTCGTTACTTTCGCTCCTAGACACCCAACTACTGTGGGGGGGACATCTTTAGAATACTGTATTGCATGTGTGTGTGTGTTGACATCTCTTGATAATAAATACCCAATAGATATATACAGTATTGTAATTCATAAATAAAATCCTCTTAAAAGTGATTATTAATTTAGCATGTGTATAGACAATGCAGGTATACAGTTCAACATGTATATAGACAACTTCCAATACTATATTACCTGTCTCGTTACAACACAATCACCTCGCTCACGTACCTAGAAGTGAAGTAGTTATCAGTTTGGACCATTCCGCAAGACATAATTAGATGCAGGCAGCTGGATGGATGGGTAGGACTCGACTCGACACGCTAGACCCTGTGGTGAAGAAATGATGACTAGTGTTAGTATTAATTAAATATAATAGTTTAGTTTATTGAGAGGGAAATGGGAGGATTAGGATAGATATGGAAACCTTATTTAAGAGACTACTATATTTCTGTTAGATGTGCTAGGTAAAATAAGCTTGGGAGTCTAATCTCCAGGTGATCTGACATGAAGTATTTTTGTATCTAGTAATTTAAGATATTTCTAATAAGTACAAATGACTTTATATACATTAATATCTGTATATACTTTCATATATTCTCAACAAATAAAAAAAATATATAAAACCCACAACGCAAAACGTTTTATATAGTAAAATTAAAAAAAAAAAAATACCACAGTCGACCTTCCAACACCTACAGGGTCCCCACAAACCACATTGACCTTTTAACATGGGGAAAAAAACCTGACAGCCAGAAGTTGCAGGTGAAGGCTATCAGACGTCCTTTAACAATACCGGTAGAACACACACACACACACACACACACACACACACACACACACTCACACACACACACACACCCTTTCATTTGAGGACTCATTATTAATGCCATATACCCTTACATACATATTATTTACACATTATATTCTATTAGTTATGTCAAGTATAGTTTAAGTGTATTTTTCTGTTGATTTGAGTGGATTACCTATAGTTTAGACACCCTAGTTTGTTTTACCTGATGATTAGACACCCTAGCACTACCTGGGGTTAGATTAGGTCAGCATAAGGGTGGTCAAATATAAGGTGAAATAAGCTAGGGTGTCTAATCTTCAGGTGAAATAAACTAGGGTGTCTAAAATTATTAACAAGTTTGTAAAAGAATGACATATTTATTTGTTTTACGTTATATACAATAGCTTAATGCAATACTGTACTACAATATAACATCAATACATCTAACAGACTTTAAATAAAAATGTCAAATTTTTATTGTCAAATTCTAGATTATACTGTCTAAACTGCTTCCCTTGTTGATTTAGACCATTTATATCTATGTATAGTGGCTAAACTGCTTCCCTTGTTGATTTAGACCATGTATATCTATGTATAGTGGTTAAACTGCTTCCCTTGTTGATTTAGACCATGAATATCTATGTATAGTGGTTAAACTGCTTCCCTTGTTGATTTAGACCATGTTTATCTATGTATAGTGGTTAAACTGCTTCCCATGTTGATTTAGACCATGTATATCTATGTATAGTGGCTAAACTGCTTCCCATGTTGATTTAGACCATGAATATCTATGTATAGTGGCTAAACTGCTTCCCATGTTGATTTAGACCATGTTTATCTATGTATAGTGGTTAAACTGCTTCCCTTGTTGATTTAGACCATGTATATCTATGTATAGTGGCTAAACTGCTTCCCATGTTGATTTAGACCATGTATATCTATGTATAGTGGTTAAACTGCTTCCCTTGTTGATTTAGACCATGTTTATCTATGTATAGTGGTTAAACTGCTTCCCATGTTGATTTAGACCATGTATATCTATGTATAGTGTCTAAACTGCTTCCCTTGTTGATTTAGACCATGTATATCTATGTATAGTGGCTAAACTGCTTCCCATGTTGATTTAGACCATGTATATCTATGTATAGTGGTTAAACTGCTTCCCATGTTGATTTGAATACATGTATATCTATGTGAGTGGCTTCATTGCTTCCCTTGTTGATTTAGACCATGTATATCTATGTATAGTGGCTAAACTGCTTCCCATGTTGATTTAGACCATGTATATCTATGTATAGTGGCTAAACTGCTTCCCTTGTTGATTTAGACCATGTATATCTATGTATAGTGGCTAAACTGCTTCCCATGTTGATTTAGACCATGTATATCTATGTATAGTGGCTAAACTGCTTCCCATGTTGATTTAGACCATGTATATCTATGTATAGTGGCTAAACTGCTTCCCATGTTGATTTAGACCATGTATATCTATGTGTAGTGGTTAAACTGCTTCCCATGTTGATTTAGACCATGTATATCTATGTATAGTGGTTAAACTGCTTCCCTTGCTGATTTAGACCATGTATATCTATGTGTGTGAGTGGCTAAACTGCTTCCCCATGTTGATTTGGGCCCATGTCTATGTATAGTGGCTAAAACTAGCTATGTTGATTTAGACCATGTATATCTATGTGTAGTGGTTAAACTGCTTCCCTTGTTGATTTAGACCATGTATATCTATGTATAGTGGCCTAAACTGCTTCCCATATTGATTTTGACCATGTATATCTGTGTATAGTATTAAACTGCTTCCCTTGTTGATTTAGACCATGTATATCTGTATAGTGGCTAAACTGCCCTTGTTGATTTAGACCATGTATATCTATGTATAGTGGTTAAACTGCTTCCATGTTGATTTAGACCATGTATATCTGTATAGTATTTAAACTGCTTCCCACATATTGATTTAGACCATGAATATCTATGTGTAGTGTCTAAACTGCTTCCCATATTGATTTTGATATGTATATCTATCTATAGTAGTAGCCCATGTTGATTTAGACCATGTATATCTGTATACAAGTGATGTCTAAACTGCTTCCCTTGTTGATTTAGACCATGTATGTATATATAGTGGCTATTTCAAGCACCATGTTGATTTAGACCATGTATATCTATGTGTAGTGGTTAAACTGCTTCCCATGTTGATTTAGACCATGTATATCTATGTATAGTGGTTAAACTGCTTCCCTTGCTGATTTAGACCATGTATATCTATGTATAGTGGCTAAACTGCTTCCCATGTTGATTTAGACCATGTATATCTATGTGTAGTGGTTAAACTGCTTCCTATGTTGATTTAGACCATGTATATCTATGTATAGTGGTTAAACTGCTTCCCTTGCTGATTTAGACCATGTATATCTATGTATAGTGGTTAAACTGCTTCCCTTGCTGATTTAGACCATGTATATCTATGTATGGCTATGTAAACTGGCATCAAAGGAACCAGTCGGCATTCTAAGAAACCCTGTGGCATTTCCAATATGATGACAAATGCCACACAATACAATGCCCGCCATGTCCTGACCTTCAATTCCTAAATAAAACCTAAGTTGTTGTACAATATTATACTAAACAGGTTATTAAGGGGGCGTTTTAAACCTTTAACTCAGGCTAAACACATACTGTACACAGACACACACTCGTATCACCTGAAGATTAGACACCCCAGCTTAGTTTATTCTACCTGATGACTAAACACTCTAATGCAACCTGAGATTTGTGTTAGTTTATATTAGAATTAGATTAGGTTGAAATATATTAAGGTATTGGGTGGTTGACAGGAGGGAGAGGGGGGGGGTTATTAAATACAATAATAAAAACAACCATTGAAAACCGAATTAAAACAATACCGCTAAAAATGATATAAAAAATAGATAAAAATAAATAATGGTGTAATGGAAGCCAAACATTGAAACGATTACAAAAAAAAAATCAATTAGAAAAATCATGTAATTCGTGTAACCAACAATGGCTGGCTAATAATTGCTATTCTTTACGTCTAACCAACCATTTACTTTCACAACCAAAAAATTTATGATGAAGAAATTAAACCAATATTAAAAAGTTCCCAGTTCTAAATAATCCCATTAGGCTGGTAAGATTAGGTAGGACTTGTGGATTAGGCACTAGGATTAGGGATGACATTCACATCTAATCATTTATCCTACCGTGTCTACAATCCCGTTATGTTAAGGAAGGATTTGGTTTAACATCCTCAATGATAAACCAATCTTATGTCTTCAAGGCTAAACGTGCAACTATCCCGTTAAACCAAGCTATTTAAATGCCCTCATCTCCTTCACAAATCCCCCGAGTCATTTTTCCACCCCGTTAAGCTTGGTTAAGTAGCAAGTGGAAGATTATGTTCATTAAAATAAATTTACGTCCCCAAGGCTTGAAAATAGTTAACTACATAAATTTAAATAATGATTCTGTTTTTGTAGACCTGTACTGTCATGTATATGGTCTGTTTTACTTCACAAACAATTAATAACTTCAGATCCTGACAACTGAATTACTTAAAACACAAGACGTTGATAATAATTAATACGCACTATGATAATATAACGCTATTAAGTAACCTTGAAACCCGAAAGCACCACAGGAATGATAAAGCCACTAAAATTAACTTAAATATAACCAATAACAAGAATCATACATCCCCCCCCCACCCCCCATAAGCTTTGGGGCTTAGAATGCGGATATAGAAAGCTTATATGTGCAAATGTTATCACCTAATAGTGTTCAGACGTCACGTTATGAAGTGTCACCTTGTTATGTTACTGCTAAGGTTATCAGTTCGTTGTGTTCCTACGTTATAATGTTATCAGCTCATTATACTACTACGTAATAAGATTATCAATTCGGTATGTTACTAATGTTGCTTAAATCACCCAATTACAGGCGTTAATAACCTCGTGTGGGAATCATTAAGAATATATTGTATATTCATAAGAGCCTAATATACGCATTACTTAACTAAACCAAAATCAACTCTCATAAAGGCTTTCATAACGATAAGTTCTAATATTTCCTAGTTGATAAGAGGAATGGGAGGGTAACTGCATACGGCCATCTCAATTCCCAAACACAGACCAACCATTACACCACGTTGGTTTATGTGGGATAAGATTACAACCACAAACTCTCGCATCACAGGTTCAAGGAGAGAGAGATAGAGATAGAGATAGAGATAGAGATAGAGAGAGAGAGAGAGAGAGTCCAACTGAGTTTCTCCGTCACAACAAACCAGAAAAAAAAAATATCTAGTTAATAATAAACTTAATAAAACCTAACATCCGCTTTCATTATCCAGATATCGATTAAAAAAAAAATTAAATAAAATGACAAACACATTTCCGAACGTGTACCGAGGTTGTATGTTCTAGAACCATCCTAGCTTGTGACTGGGGGGTGGGGGTGGGGGTGGGGGTGGGGGTGGGGGGGGAGGGAGAAGCTTTAGCTGGGAGCAAATAATCGATGCTGGTATCTCTCTCACTCTCTCTCTCACACTCTCCCTCACTCTCTCCTTCCTTCCATCATCGATCGCAAGAAAATGTGGTAACTTGGTATTCTATTTCCCCAAGTTAATTTTTTTAAGCTGTTTGTAATCTATATTGCGCAGAATATATGAAGAAAAAAGCTTATCTTAATATAGTATAGTGATATAGTCAATACGATAATATTTTAATAACATCTAGATAGTTTAATATAATACTAATAGTTGTAGAATTAAGTTATAAATTCAAAATATAAGAATAGAGATGGAATAGAGCTGGGGTAAGGCGTCGTAATCCCGTAGAGTTAGACATTTGAATGCTAACAGGTGTGTGTGTGTAAGGTTTCTGTCACCCACATACCACACTGAAGCATTATTAACGTGTGTACCACTACTGCCGCTTAAGACAGATTATATAGACTGTTGGCTGAATTTTCTTTACAAATTTCGAATTATATCAGTGTTAATGCGCACCAAGAACAATTTAATTTCTTATACTTAACAAATTTAACAAGAAGGAATACTCGGTTATCTTCTCAACTTTTAGCAAAAATTTTTTAGTTAACGTTTAAACTACGTGTTTGTCTTTTATCGATACAAGTAGAATTAAACTAACGTAAAATGCCATAATGTGTACAATTAGTATGTTAAGTACGTTTATATACCGTAGTGACACACAGTACAAGCATACAAGATTAACACATGCTTCAATAAATGTTTAGTATCGCCTTTACACAAGAAAATAAAACTAATCTTCAATGCTGTGGTGAAAGTGGTTTAACATTGCAAAACCTCACTTGGTTAAATCTAGGTTAGGTTACAACGTTATTCAGCTACATACAATAAATATATATCAAACGTTCTGCTGTGAATTTTCAGTTGCATTGGTAAACATTTTAACATATATTGCCATTTTTAAAAGGTTATGTGGCCGCGAATGTAACTTTAACCCAGGTAAAACAAAACAGAAAATAAGTTAAAACAAAAAACACATTTCCTAGTTCGTTAAAGTTATAAAATCTGGTTTATTACAAGGAATCAATTACACACAAACAAACAAACACACACAAGGCTGCCGCTGAGGGTATAACACCCTATCACCCCGCCTGGCCATTACTCACCCCTGGGCCTCAACCATCGAGCCTTTACCATTATTAACAGGATATTTCTTCAGGCTAATTCTGTCTCACTGCTGCCCCCCTAACTAACCACCAAATACCGCTTCTGAAAAACCTCTCGAGACTGACATTTAAGGACATTTTGTAGACGGGAAAACAGACAAATCATTAGATATATTAACAGACGATGTTATTAGGCCTAAGAGTTGAATTCCTAGCCTAAGGGCGTGCCGGCGCCAGACACACACACACACACACACGCGCGGGCTGTCACGCCATGGGCCCCCGCTTGGTAACTTTCCACTCGCTGTTTCCCTCCCTACTTCTGGCGAGGGTACCACACCCATCACCTGTTACCTAGTTCATTTAATACAAACCTTTACTTCATCATCTTCCGTTTCCCTACACCTATACAAGTTGTCTACAAGAGGGTATAAATTCCTCCCGTTTAAATTAACATGTAATTCGTCTGTTAAGGGTTTTATCACGTGACAATACCTTAAAATCACATAATTATACAAATACGCAAATTTCAGTCCCGTTTATGACTTTCTGACGAACATTTAAAAAAAAAATCGAACATAAGCCAACTTCACTTTTATACTTACTTCAAAAAAAGTTAAATATCCTTCGTTAAACATTAATACACTTCATGTCCAAACCAACACACTCGCCCATTCACTATATTAAACCTTTCTTTCCTCAACATACTTAAAGACGAAGTATATTGTTGTATATATAAAATAATGATGCCAGGCGGGTGGGGGTGATCATCAAACACAAAACTCTCTCAAAAGATAACTAGAAATAAGACTAGTTCACCTATTGTCACTCTTATCTTTCCTTAGAGCACACGTCAAGACCCATTCATGGTATATAATAGAGAGAGAGAGAGAGGGAGAGATATTTACCGGTGAACTGCTAACACAACCTCTCTCGAAGGCGACTAGACAGCAACTGAAAATGTTACAGTGAATAGTGAGCGGCCGCACCTCTCACCCCGAGCACCACCCCCCACCCCTGCTCCTCCCCGCCGGTCCCTCCCTCAAGACACGCCGCTCCTCCATCACCCTCCCCACCAGTAGGTTCGGTCCCGCCTCCACTATAACCAATCAGAGCCGCTCTTTTGCACACGCGCAGTTGCCACTTTAACCCAACCCTGTACAGCTTGTTCCTCTCTCTCTCTCATCATGACAGTCGAACATGAGTTGCATACTGATTTATAACAACCTAAAAGACCAGTTTGGCTTAACGTATGGTAAAGTATTAGAGAGAGAGAGGAGGGTAGAAGGGGGGGTTGAGACAGTGGGAGGGTGTGGGTGTGTTACAGAAGGTGGGAACTATTGATTTTAACGCCTTACCTGCCCGGAACTTCTTAGTTTTTTTCCCCCATGTATACCTGTAAACTTCCGTATATGGTAAAAAAAAAAATTAAACCTTGGGAATTAAAAAACTGATTCTGGTTCTGACACACATTGTTGATTTGTTATATCTGATATTCTTGTCATTCAAACTTATCGAAATATTTAGACATTTATTTACTATTTCCTTGATGTAAAATACCAATTGTGTTTGTTTTAATAATAAGGAAACTTTGCCCTTTGTCTTGGATTATACGGGAATTTTTGTCAAGTAAACGACCTTTAAAACTTACGTAAAGACACTGGTAAGGTTAAGCTATGCTTCCTGAGACCTGTCAATGGGTAAACAGGATATGCACACATACACACACACTAACACATACACACTAACACATACACACACACACACTAACACATACACACACATACACACACACACTAACATACACTATTATATACACACTAACACATACACACATACACACACACACTAACACATACACACATACACACACTATATACACACACACACACACACACACACACACACACATACACACACACTAACACATACACACACACACACTAACACACACACACACATATACATGATACTACATGCTATCAACACAACAGACTGACATTAACATTACGTCACAATTGCAACAATACCATATATCAATAAGAATGTAATCACCTTATATAACACGCACACACACACACCACATACACACATATGCACACACTACATACATAAATAGTCATACATATATTAAAACAATACATACATACATAGAGTCAATACGAATACACCAGGAAGTAGAAGCTATCAAATTGTTCGTGAATTGTGTGTGAACAAAAAGATGCAGGAACTGATATGAGAGTTGTGTCAAGGCTAGTGGTGGTGGTGGTAGCAGTGGTGATAGTGGTGGTGGCGGTGTGTTGTGGTGACGTAGTGGTAGTAGTAACATTATAGTAGTAGTAGGTGCAATAGTAATAATAGTAATAGTTTAGGTAGTTATAGAATCAGCCACCACCTTGAATTGATCTATTAACAAAGGCTTTCTGACCATTACTAACAACATTACAAGTTCATTCGCCTTCGTTCAGTCTCACCTCTTGGGATTTCCTTGTTCTGCTTATGTTGTTTTATTGGTTTAATGTTGGTGTTTTTTAGTGTTTTTGTATGGTTTAGGTTAGGGGTGGTTTAGGTTAGATAAGGGGGTGGGCTGGGCTGGGTTAAACCATCGTCCTCAAGGGGTTAAACCATCATCCTCAAGGGGTTAAATCATCCTCAAGGGGTTAAACCATCGTCCTCAAGGGGTTAAACCATCATCCTCAAGGGGTTAAATCATCCTCAAGGAGTATAAACCATCATCCTCAAGGGGTTAAACCATCGTCCTCAAGGGGTTAAACCATCGTCCTCAAGGGGTTAAACCATCATCCTCAAGGAGTATAAACCATCATCCTCAAGGAGTATAAACCATCATCCTCAAAGGAGTATAAACCATCATCCTCAAGGGGTTAAGCCATCGTCCTCAAGGGGTTAAACCATCATCCTCAAGGGGTTAAGCCATCGTCCTCAAGGGGTTAAACCATCATCCTCAAGGGGTTAAACCATCTTCCTCAAAGGAGTATAAACCAACAATAAACCCCCAAACCATAGGATATCCTCAAGGCAGAACACTCACTTCCTAACACTCAATGTACTCCTCCTTGGAGACCCTCGTCCTTGAGAGTTACGTCTAAGATATCAAGTTTGACCTCCAAGGGTGGCCATAATATTGAGATCGTCTCTATTGCTTTAAGTTATCACCTCCACACCTGTATAAGTGCAATAATGGTAAGCAATGTGTGTGTGTGTGTGTGTGTGTGTGTGTGTGTACGTTTGACTGTCTCTTGCCTTGTGTAAATCTAAAGTTCGGCGTATTTAAATGCGCCCAGACAGACAGACAGAGAGACGAACAGACGTAATTAATACTAACACACTTTATGAAACATCAGGTACGTCACACACACACACACACACACACACACACACACACACAACAAAAGGTCGATGCATTACTAGCCGCTTAAGAAAACGTTTACGTGTGTTAAATAATTATACTACTACTACTACTACTACTACGAATTACAACGATTAGTATAGTAATATTGACATAATACCGGTAATAATAATAATAATAACAATAATAAAAATAATAATAATAATAATAATAATAAAAATAATAATAATAACAATAGCAATAACAATAATAATAATAATAATAATATCAATAATAATAATAATAATAATAATAATAATAATATCAATAATAATAATAATAATAATAATAATAATAATAATAACAATAGCAATGATGTGTGGTGTGGTGGTGGTGGTGGTGGTGGTGGTGGTGGTCAGTGGTGGTGGTGGTGGTGGTGGTGATGAAGTGGTGGTGTGGTGGTGATTGTGGTGGTGGTGGTGGTGGTGGTGTCGGTGGTGTGGTGGTGTGGTGTGTGTGGTGGTGTCGGTGGTGGTGGTGTGGTGGTGTGGTGGTGGTGGTGGTGGTGTGGTGTTGGTGGTGGGGATGGTGTGGTGTGTGGTGGTGGTGGTTGTGGTGGTGGTGTGGGGTGTGTGTTGATGTGTGTGGTGGTGTGTGTGGTGTGTGTTGAGGTGGTGTGTGGTGAGCGGTGGTGGTGTGTTGGGTGGTGTGGTTGGTGGTGGTGGTGTGTGGTGTAGTGGTGGTGGTGTGGTGTGTGTGGTTGGTGGTGGTGGTGAGCGTGGTGACTGTTGATGGTGATGATGTGGTGGGTGGTGGTGTGGTGGTGGTGTGGTGAGGTGGTGGTGAGGGGTGAGTGGTGGTGGTGGGTGGTGGTGGTGGTGGTGGTGGTGGGGTGGTGGTGGTGGCTGGGTGAGTGGGTGGTGGGTGGTGTGGTGGTGTGTTGGTGGTGTGGTGGTGGTGTGGTGGGCGGTGGTGTGTGGTGGTGGTGTGGTGGTGGTGTGGTGAGGTGGTGTGTGGTGGTGGTGATGATGATGATGATGATAATGATGACGGTGGTGATGATGTGTTTAGTGTGTGGCGGTGTGATGGTGGTGTTATAATAATAATAATAATAATAATAATAATAATAATAACAAAAGGAATCACGACAATCACAGCACAATAACGGCACTAATAACAGTATATCCTCTGGCTTTAAACAACGGAAAAACTGGACCCACGAATCACCGTACACACACACACGTCCACCTACATACTTACTTGTACTAAAAGTTAACCTACACACCACCCACCACCCACCCCCGCCCACCCACTCAGCTTCCCCTGCCCACCCACCCAAGGTCAACCACCTAAACTTCCTCTGACGGGTTCAAGTATAATAAGGTCAGTGTGTTGGTGAAAGGTCAACAGTGGTGGTGGTGATAGTGGTGACAGTGGTGGTGGTGACAGTGGTGGTGGTGGTGGTGGTGGTGGTGGTGTGGAGACAGTGGTGGTGGTGATAGTGGTGACAGTGGTGACAGTGGTGGTGGTAGGATGGTGGTGGTGGTGGGACAGTGGTGGTGGTGGTGATAGTGGTGGTGATGATAGGTGACAGTGGTGGTGGTGATAGTGGTGACAGTGGTGTGGATAGTGGTGACAGTGGTGGTGTGAGACATTCTAGCTAACCTTTAATACAGTTTCTTATGCCTCTCTCTCTCTCTCTCTCTCTCTCTCTCTCTCTCTCTCTCTCTCTCTAACTAACCTTGAAATTTTTCTTCTCATTTCATTCACACCTGGGAGCATTTCATTCACACCTGGGAGCATTTCATTTGGGAGCATTCACACCTGGGAGCATTTCATTCACACCTGGGAGCTGGGAGCATTTCATTCACACCTGGGAGCATTCTCATTCACACCTGGGAGCATTTCATTCACCTGGGAGCATTTCATTCACACACACCTGGGAGCATTTCTCATTCACACCTGGGGCATTTCATTCAGCATTTCATTCACACCTGGGAGCATTTCATTCACACCTGGGGCATTTTATTCACACCTGGGGGCATTTCTATTCACACCTGGGAGCATTTCATTCACACCTGGGAGCATTTCATTCACACCTGGGAGCATTTTTCACACCTGGGAGCATTTCATCATTCACACCTGGGAGCATTTCATTCACACCTGGGAGCATTTCATTCACACCTGGGGGAGCATTTCATTCACACCTGAGCATTTCATTCACACCTGGGAGCATTTTCATTCACACCTGGGAGCATTTCATTCACACCTGGGAGCATTTCATTCACACCTGGGAGCATTTCATTCACACCTGGGAGCATTCCTAGTCAACCCACAGGTGTCTTCCGTTCATTCAAGCTCAAGGAATACTTCGAGGTTGACCTTGAAGGGTCTTATGACTCCAACCCTTCCTTCCTTCTCCCTCTTCCTTCCTTCTCCTTCCTCCTTCCTCTTCCTCCTCCTTGACTCATTAATCTTCATTAGTCAAGTCTTAACACTCCCAAGGACGAGGTGTTGGTGGTTAGGTTTAGGTTTAGGTTAGGTTAGGTTAGGTTAAGGTTAGGTTAGGTTAGGTTAAGTTAAGGTAAGGTTAGGTTAAGGTTAGGTTAGGTTAGGTAAAGGTTAGGTTAGGTCTATCTATCTATCTACCTGATCTTCTGTCTATCCACGATTT